TACTACAAGCAGTTTCCATAACTTGTTAGTTTATATATAAAGATCAATGTTTTCAAATCATTAGAGTTAAACTTTCTTTTTATAGTTTTTTATTCAATCTTCTATTAATTTAGTATTATTTTTATTAATATTATTTTATTTGTTTAAATAGAATATATTATCGGAGTAAAAATATTTTAAAATGTGTCAATATTATAAAAAATTTAACAAATACGTGTAAATATCTACCTTGTCCGCAGCCATATTGATTTTAAAACGCCTAGCGACGGACATGCGTATTAACTTCTAGATTTTGGCAGATCATATTTTTAAATAAACATTCCTACTGCACGATTTTCAAATAGAGTACAATTAAATGGTATGTAAATCTTTATAGATCGGTAAGTTTTGCAAGATGGATAAATACGAGGGCCGTTCAGAAATTGCACAATATATTTGACGACATAAACAAGCAAAAAGTCATAAATAATATATAAATAATCTTTTCAGATATGATCATCAAAATTTCATATCAAAATATTGTAAATTGGTATCAATTTCAAGTGATTTAACAGGACATCTCATGAAGTCACGGCGCAGTAAACTTTCAACGTCAAGGGCATTTTAAAAAAATGGGAGCTTTTATTTTCTCAATATTTTTCCTTAGTATTTGATACTGTATAGTTTGGGTTACCTTATCCACTCAGAATAAACATCCATATAACATTTCCGATTCAGCTTTAAAACTATAAAACTATTATTGTGTGTTTTAGTTTGTGTTAAACCCCAAAACTGCAGATATTTCTGAAGTTGAGTTTGACGTCAGTCGATCTCAATCACATTCTTAACAGCCCAGATCAGTGTTTTGTTGATGAACTTCTTTCATCCCTCCCGGATTGCCTTTTGACTGAGGTTTAACAGTCTAAAATTCTTCTTTTTTACATTTTGTAGAGATGTGTCGGATATTCCTCTGGTTTACTACATGTTTCATTAGGATTATTTTGGGTCTCTGTTTGCGTTTTCCCAGCATGATTCATGATTTGATAAAAGTGCGCTGCTCCGTCAAATCACGAGACGTCATTTTTGCAGTTGATTTCGTAGGGGTCACATCGGAGAAAAATTACAATATTTCTGTTAGTACTTCAAATATTACGCCAGAAATCTAAATACTTAATAATAAAACAATAAAAAGAAATTTTAGAGAAAATCGTTGAATAATATCGTGAAATATGGAAAATAAATGAATAAAATTTTGGATACCGCACTGATGTTTGGTTTTCAACATTTTTGCCCTGCTCCGTATATCACCATCAGCAGTATCAAAACGGCAATAATTTTATGAGATATTAAATAAAATCAAAAAATTTTTACCAAGAAGTTATTGGATTTTTGAAGAAATATGTTCCTGTGAAATTTCATTTCTATATGACGTCTGTAAGAGTAAATAATAGCAGAGTTCGCGTAATTTTTGAACGGCCCTCGTATATAGGTGGAATTTATCTTGTTCTGTCTTATATTAATATTGATATCCGAATGCATTAGACTGTAGACAATAGTTTACTTCAAATCAAGGGCCCTCGCAGATACGTGAAAGAGATATAATTGTAGACAAAGGCAGTAATAAATTATGAAATAAAATAAAATTATGTAAAGTAAAACACATACAAAGCAAGCTGTTGTGCTTTACAATGTTATGTTAAATGTTTAGATGTGTATTTTCGTAGGAATTTTTCCCCTTACAAACAAAAATACACTGCGGGTCATGATCATTCGACTTTGGTCTTGATGTTTGACTTACTTTTGAAAAACTTTAACTTTTCCAAATCTTTCCAATGGTTGCTGCTAGGACTTTTATATTTCACAGGTATATTCCTCGGGACAAGACCTTACTTTGGGTACCAACATATTTGATTTGCATTTGAGAAAGTTTAACCTTCGCTATAAGTTAAATTGCACTACGGGGGCATCAGTGTTTCACAAACACATCTTGTTTTAATAGAAATGGAACTCGTAAATTTACTTACCTTGTCATTGGTCAATTGCAATTTTTTTTTTATTTTTTTTTTTTTTTTATTTTTTTTTTTTTTTTTATTCATTTTTTTTTTTTTTTTTTTTTTTTGATAAAAATATTCTGATTGTACAAACAAGTACACTGAAGTTGATATTAAATACTTATTATTTATATTAATACTGGTAGATGTAATACTATGTAGATTAAAACTTCAAACAATCTGTCGGAATTTCCATTCGTATATGTGTACCAATATTGCGCTCTTCTATTAGCAGACTTGTTCTTGTATTCATCATTAATTCGAATGCTGACTGTCGTTTTTCATACTAATTTTTAGGTCATTATTAACACACTGTGTTGTTTACGGATTTTCCCGTTTACCCGATCATGACAATGAGTACACAGCCGATATGACCGGTTGACAGGGGTTGCTTACTCCTCCGTGACACCTGGAACCACCTCTGATTAATTTAGAGTTCTATGTTTGATCTGCGCCCTATTTGTATAGTTTCAATGGACTTTTGAGCTTGATTACAGATTGTTATCTCTATATTTCTTTGAAAGTATCTGGCGTCTGTGAGTGGACCTCGTAATAGTCCTTTGAACTAATGAAGAATAACTTATCCAGAGTTACCCCCCCCCCCCCCCACCAATTTGCGGAGTTATGAAATGTACACAGCAAAGTAGCTAAAAAATGGACTTGGACCCTCCCACCCTATTTGAAAACACAGAACCCTTCTACATGTACGAAGCTCTAAAATGAATGAAAGCAGCTTCCCCATACACCCCAACACCCTTTACATATGGAATTCTATACTGCTTACTGCCAACTAGTCACTGCTTACTGCCGACTGTCAGCTGTTTACTGCCAACTGCCACTGATCATAGATGATACTGCCATTTATAATGAATTAAATGGATGTATTATATATATATATATACCGTAATAACGCCTTTTTAAAAGGCGCAATAGCCGGGGGGGGGGGGGGGTGTAAAGGCGTATAGAACGTCAGATGAAACTGGGGGGGGGGGGGCAAACTTTTAGTAGAATCTTAGGGTAACATTTGTTGATATATGTATTTATACGAGAAGTACTACTGAAAATCATAAACTAAAACAAGGCATTTTACTCTATTTAAAAATAGTAGATCCCAGGCAAGGAAGCAATTTCAGTGTGGGAGGGTAGGGGGGACAACCCAACGGAAATCCCTTCGCAAGTAATTAAAAAGGTCACAGGCGTCATTATTGAGGGAGCATTATACATTTAACTGTATAGTATATGTTGGTAATTTATTATGAAAACCGTAACCCCCTCAACAATCATCCCCATCCTCACCACCACCAATGCTTCTACCGACCCGACGTTACCCATTAATTCGAATTAAATACGACACATACCAAAAATCACAAATACATGTACTTTTCACACAAAAAAACAAAACACTAAAAGACACTAAAAGATATTACATGTGCTAGATATTTTACCCTATAGGCAAAAGGTATGTTATTATGAGTTTTAGTAATATTTCTAGTAAAATACATATACAAACAAATATTACCCAAGACCCTACTAAAAGTTTGTTCTTTCGTCGTACGTGACCCCCCCCCCCCCCCCCCAACGTCAAAAAAATTAAATCATCTGCCTGTAAGAAAATGTGGGATTTAGATGTTTTGTTTCTATGAGAAAATAACCCTTCTTCCGATTTACTCCAATTAACCTGACCTTCACAGTTTAAAAATTCCTGAATCTGCCTATTCTTGTTATTATTGTTAGAACTATGCACACTAACTCTCGATTCTCGCCTACAGTTTACATCCATTCAATTCAACAGTACCAATGACAGTTTGGCCATTAAAACTTGCTTGAATGCAAAGAAGGGTTTATTAGTAATGGATTCATAATTTTAATATCATAGAGTAAAATTAATGCCTTGTTTTTCTGGTATAAATACTTATACCAACAAATGTTACCCAGGATCCTATACTAAAAGTCCCCCATCCCCATTTTTGACGTTATATAAGACTTTAATCTCTCTCCCGTCAAAAAGCTATTGAATTATTTGCCTGTAAGGAAATGTGGGAATTAAATGTTTTGTATTTAAGGAGAAATACTCCTTCCTTCTATTTATTTCTACCTCGCCTACACCCTTTTAAAAATTTCTGAATAATATTTGCTATCATTGTTATATTCTTGCTATCATAGGCATGCGCGGATCTAGAGGGGGTGTCGGGGAGGAGGGGGTGCGGACCCCCCCCCTTTTGAAGTTGCAAAGTTATTAAATGTATATAGTAAAGCAATTAAAAGTGACCTTGGACCCCCCCCCCTTTTTTTTTGCTTGTCAAGAAATTTCTGGGTTGATTTTTTTTTGTCTGGGGTGGACCTCCCTGGAAAAAAATTCTGGATCCGCGCTTGATATGGTTTTATATTCAACCATTCGTATAAAAGATAACATAGCATGCAATATCATATATGCACAGTAGAAGTTGGCAGTAAGCAGCTGGCAGTTGGCAGTAAGCATTGAGTAGTTGGCAGTAAGCAGTTGGCTGTCGTATATGGATTTTTTTTTTTGTGTGTTTTTTAAATGTCAATTTTTTTTAAGTTCAGTATGGACATTCCCCCTGGGGGAGGGGATCATGGTTCCGCACTTGTGATACCGGGCATGGATTTTAGTGCTTTGATTAAAAAAAACGAAAATAAAATGAAATAATTATTGATAATTGACGAAAAAAGCATGAAACATAAGAATCACACATTCAAGTCGGGTTCGAGATTCCCTTAGATCGTCAACAACTTGAAGGAAAAGATCGACTGGTGGAGTTTTTTTCCTCTTTTTTTTTTTTTTTTTTTTTTTTTTTATTTACTATCTTTAGAGCAAAGAAGTGTTTTTTAAACAAGGAATAACTGATTTTGATAACACTGGATCAGTGTTAAGAAAATTCAACCTTAGCTGTTTAGTTCTGCTCGGAATGAGAAGGTAAAGTAGCATTTTTTTCTCTTTCAGATTAAGATATGGAAGAAAATACAGAAGAAAAACATTCAAACAGTAGTGAGAAACCCGGAAGACTTTGTGAAAATAAAGTGAAGAAAAGGGAGGTCAAGAAAATTCAGTGCCCAGTTTTGGATTCTGACTCCTGTGAATGTCACTATGAAGACAAACATACATGTATGAAAGGGGAATTTAAACGAAAACCAAGGAGTGGATCTAACCAGTCCAAGTCAAAATTTAGCTTTAATTCCAATGTTGGGTCCAAAAATATTTTTGCAGTTCCATGTTCTTCATCAGAAGCTTGTGAATATGACAAAGAAAACGGTGAAGATGATGAGGATGAAGGGGAAACAACCCAAACTGAGTATCCAGAGTTATCTTCCCTACTTCATGACTTGTGTAGTGCTAAATATGGTAACAATTTAAATGAAAATAAAGTTAAATCATCAGCTTTACAGCCAAAGAACCGAAGAGATTCAAAAACACTGAGACCCAATCTTAAATCAACAGAAACTAACGAAACTCAGATTTCAGAAGCAGGTACCAGTCAAGAACAGGGAACCAGTCAGACGTGTGACTTTATTTCAGGACTGCATTATGCCATTCCATTTTTGTCAGACAAACTAAAGTCCAGCTTATTCAGCAGACTAAGATGTCAATCAGAGCCCAAAGAAATAGGTATGACATGTACCATATAATTTGCACAAGTATTCAATATAATTATTGTGACTAGAGAAGATTTTTTTGAGCTGTCAAACTAATTTTTGAAAAAAGAGATCTATCAGAAACAGTGAAAAATTCTGTACATCAGGAATGGGATAAGATTAAATTCTTTCCTCACTGACACAGTTAATATGATGTAAAATGATGTACACAAAACTTTACCTTGTAAGAAGAGGCAATTTTACATGTTATCCTTACATCTTGAGACTTGCATCAATATTTTCTTTAATTAGGTGCCACAAAGACTATCAAAGATCAGGAAACTGACCACTGTGACTATGATAGCAGTGATAGTGGAAGTTTTGTTTTGGAGGAAAATCCTTGCCTTGACAACAAACATCTACCTCGATGTTGTCACGACTACCATGAGGACAGTGGTTCGTGTTGCCATGGCAATGAATCACAACCATTTTGTTCTGGAAGATTGAGTGAAATGAATGGTGAGTCACCATGCAGATTTGTGGAAAATAAGGGTTGTAGTCATTTTCATCGTGGCTGCTGCAATCCCCATAACAACCAATGTGACATCAGAAAACAAGAATTTGGAGACAATCGCCATGGTAATGATACAGGCATGATTCCATCAGACAATGGTTCGCAATGTTATAGCTGTGAACATAATGGAGAAATGTATGTTTGTCATATTGACAATTCCAATGATCAGCATACAACAGGAGTTTCTGAGGACCACTTCATTGGAGCCCACTCTGAGGACATTGAGGACAGTTACAGTGGGGTCCTCTCTGAGGACAGTATATTTGGGACCATTACTTCTGAGGAGGAGCAGATTGAGGAGTCCGTCAGTCGGATTGTGGAGGACGTGGGAAAGATTGACCTACTGGATCACTTCCTGGAGGAACGAGGAGATGAGGTTTGTGTGAATTCATTGTTATAATTGTTAGGGAGAAGATTTAACTTGCTGTGATTGGAAAATATTTCATATTTTGTACAAAAAACTTCAATACATTTGTATGTACCAACTAAGGTACCAGTTGTATATATATTCATAAGAAATTCACAAGGCAGTACATGTACTTTTTAGCTAATCATCATCAACCTTTCAAGCTAGGAATAAAAACTGAAATACCAATGGAAAATTCAACATATATATCGTGTATGAATAAAATTTGTTTGACAAGTGTTTGCTAAGGTGATTTTTCATAATTATCATAGAAAATATACCTGTAAGGAATTTGGTTTATCTTTTTCTACAGATGTCCAGTGAAGGTTCTGAGGTGGTCCCTGACCTATTTTCTAGTCTCAGTTCTGACAGTTGCCAAGCAGACGATGAGTTTGAATGTGACTGTGGGCACTGTGAAGGATCAGGGCCAGGTCACCATGACAACAACCTTGACCTGAATTGGCAGGTGGCAGGGAGACTGGAGGATTCTACCAGGGGAGTTAATTCTCATACACAAAATAGGAATCTTGAAGAACTCTCAAGTGAAAGGTATGTCATACATGGAAAGCATTGCTCATCCTGATGAAAATACAAATTGTTTTGGAAAAAAAATTCCGATGTTTGGACTTTTTTAATATATACATTAATCACTAGTAGTGTTATAATGATAGAAAATTATATTCCTAATTCCATCAACAAGTTTCTTTCAACATGTTCAAGAAGGTTATTAAATATTATGTGGCTTTTGGTTAAGCATATATATACATATATTTATCATTCTAGCAACATTATTTTCCAGGACTTATAGTAAATCACTCTGACAATTTTGTATAATTACAGAACACCCATGGGAGCCTCAGTGACCTCTGACCCTGAAGATAATGATATAGAAGAGGGTGTTTATAGGTTCAGTCTCTTGCCTCCATTAAACTCAGAACAACTGGAGGCCATGTTTGAGGTAGCAAACAAGTCCACCATCTCTTGTAATAAGCTTTGAATTATTCAGAAACATCTAATGATTAATTTTTTAAAAAGTATACCTGTAAACCTATTTCTCTACTCTAACATTGTGTACCTAATTGTGAGTTTTCCATCCATTACTTTTGATTCAGTGCTACAATGTTAATCCCTAGTTGAGTAGTTATCATTGGAAAGCAAGAGGCACAAATTTGTCTTTTCAAAGTCATCATACATGTACCTTTTAGATGCATGTTCTCTTAGCTGTCATTAGGTATAAGAACAAGTTGTTAAAATGTTTGTTTAAATACAGATCAAGTTTATTTTAACTATTTTGATAATATACCAGCACATATGTACATATGTGGGAAATTGTATGTCAATTTTTGCAAAATATGCAGTAAGATGGTTCACTGAAAACTAAACAGTGAATTTTTATTGTCTGCTCAGCACATGTATCTCATATGTTTAATGAGGTTTTGATGTAATGTTCATTGTTTTGATGCTATTGCATCCTGTATTACAGAGAATGATAGCCCAGCTACAAGATATTAACCTTGGAGGTGGAACAGAACAAGCCCCACCCCCTGCATCTACTTCGACCATTGAAAGCCTTCCTTACAACACAGTCACCGCCCACCAAATTGGTATGGCCAATAAATACACTAAGATCAGTCAGAATACTTTAGGTTTTAGTCATGTGATAAAGCAAGATAAGTTGAGGTGTAATAAAAAGATATTTGTTTACATTACCCAACCGACCCTATATTTAATCGCCGGCCCAATTTTTTTTTCGTTGTAAAAATCCGGAAGTCTCGCCGGTCAGTTTAAATTTGACATGCATCTTTAATTGGTCAAACTTTTGAAATCAAAAGTACTAGAAACAAAATGGCATGTTTTAAATTAATATCTACATCAATGTATTTGTGTCTATCGCCCATATGGCAAGTCCAAACAAAAGTAAATCGATCACTACACAATGATAAAACTGTTTTGTATTTCAACCAAGTATTTCAACCAATTCATGTGAATTTGTATATAAAAAATTTCAATGAAATAAAAAAAAATCTTACCTACCGACCCTAATTTATTTCAGCATGTAACCATAAACAAGCATATTTTTTTATTATGCCTGAGTTGAATCTTGAAAAATGTGACAATTAACAGTCACTTTTTTATGTACTGTAAATTACTTTTAATTAGACTGAACTTTATTTTCGTGTAATTATGAGAGACTGTCTACTTGCTAAAAATTCATTCTCAAGTATATTATGAAAGATTACATATAACAATAATCAAAATTTTTAAAAAATGATGATATTGTTTATTTTTTCAGATGACCTTGCCCCTTGCTCCATTTGTTTGTCTTCCTTTGTTGTCATGGATACCACTTCACATCTGTCTTGCAATCACCTTTTTCATCTTCACTGCATCAAAGCCTGGCTAACAAAGGTAGAAAGCAATCTTAATGTACAGAGTATTTTGAACAACTTTATAGTGGATTCTAAAGGCATATTTGTCCAAACTATCAATGCAAATATCAAAATTTTACAAGTCCAATTTTAATTTTAAACTGATATTTGTCTTCAGATCACAGACCAAACTCAATAACCATTTCCTTGTACAATTTCTGTTTTAGTCTGCAACATGTCCTGTCTGTCGATCACGTGTGGAGTCACCAACAGTTCCATAGAAACTGAGCATGCTCATTCAACAGGAAGTGATGTCAAAAAATCCTAACCTTTTGATGTTTAGATGTCAGTAGGAAAACAGAAAATACTATACAACGAGGGACAGCATAATTACATGGATCTATAATTATTTATATCTCTACAGCAAAATATATTTTGTTCATGTCCAAAATTTTTTTTCTTAAGGCATATCTTGAAATATAACTGCTTTTGTAATGTTCATACTAACAATTCTCCTGCTTGGATAAGATTCCTCTCATATTTGCATTTTGTTTTTGTTTTTTTTATTTTTAAAGTGGCAAGTCTTGATAGTGCTGTGCAGTTCTGAGAGTATTTGTTATTTGTTGAGAGAATCTTGTTTATGGAATGTTAACTCTCAGTTTGTTTCAATGTGATATACATGTAACTGTGTCAATTTCCTGTATGGCTGGGAACAGATTGAGGTGCAATATACTGATACAATGTATCTAGGTACATGTACTTGATACATGTGCATACAACTGGGTAATGATTGAATTTGTTGAAGTTTTTTTTTCACATTGTATTTATACATTGTGGAAGCCATTGAATTATGGACCATGCATGTACATGCAGCTTTCATTTGTTAAGCTTAGCTGGTTTTATTTTAAGTCTGCGTATAGAACCATCCTCATTCTTCAGAATATGTATAATTAGGCACTGTAGTTTAAGGGTACATTGTCAACAGAATTCATATGGAAGCATCTTTGATGCAGTCTTTTATGCTTTAATTTATAACTATTGGCAAAATATGAATTTATCAGACTATAATACCCAGTATAAAGTTGCTGATGGCACTACTTACATGTTCCAAGACATTCATTTCCGCTAAATTCTGAACATGCCCAGGGCTTTCAATAAGGGGCGGAAGGAGGCGATATACATGTATCACCATTTCAATGATTTGTCACTTCAAATGTCATAATTGGCAAAATAAACTACGATTTTGAAAAGAATTTTTAAACAGCCTCTTCAAGGGGATGAATTCAAGTGTTTGCTTCAGAATTATTGATAGCCCATGATGCCATTGTTCCCGCATGAGTTGACAAGGCAGAGTAACATTAATCTATCGTTTCCATGACTGATTAATTTTCATTTATGACAGGTCAAGGACATACAGTTAAACCTTGTTATCTCAAACTCAATGGGACTGAGTAAAAACTTCGAGATATCCAAAGGTTTGAGATATTGAGGTCAATCTGATTAAAATCAGATCTTTGTTACGCTCCGAAAACTGACAGTCGCCGTAAAAAGCGTAACAAAGATCTGATTTTAATCAGATTGTATTGAGGTTAAGGACATATGCAACGTAGTTTGGACTTTATTGTCTTTTCCCCTGGAGTTGAAGAGTTCCAATACTTAAAGGAACTGTGTGCTACATTTTAATGTCTATATATGCTGTTGTACACTTCTTCTATAAAAACAAGTTTTGATAAACAAAACATCTAGAATATATGCTTAGTAGTTTTTGAATATTTTTCTTTAAATTATACAAGAATTTTCATCAATTGATATCTTTTCAAAACCCCTGGTAATGCATGCTGATTTTTTGTCTACAAACATCTGATGGCACTATGATCTTAAATTAAGAATTATCTTGAAATATTATCAGTAGGTAAGGTACGTTGCGACGTATGTCCTTAAAATACAATAAGAAATTAGTGGTTGAGACTTTCAGATCACTTCGACATACACATGGTATTCAAGTATCAGAGTTCAAGATACCAAAGTTTAACTGTATATGTAAATGTTTGATATAGCATTTATAGTACTAAGTGGAAATAATCTTTATATAATGCATATCTGTATAAATTTCTATGTTCATTCAACACTTGTATGTGTACAGTATACCGTATATACTCACCTATAAGTCGTTTTTTTGGGAGTCAAACTTTGGTCCAAAACTCTTTATCCGACTTATACGAGAGTTATAAAATGATTGGTATTTTAGTGGGTCAATCACTCTAGTTGAAGTTAAAAGAATACAACCAACTTATAGGCGGACCGACTTATAGGCGAATATATATGGTACTTGTGTTTCTTTTGGCACTCATCATGCACACACTGTAATGAGTCATTTTAAAAGTTATCTACCAGTAGTCTTAAGAAAATCCTTTTTTTAGTTATATGTGTTTTAAATGTATTTAAATTGTTAAACAAAACTTGCATCAAGTTTTGAGTTGCCATTTTTTGGTTGAATTTATTTAAAGTTTTTCTTGTTTAAAGGCATTAAAAGAAATTTTTGAACATTGAAATTCTGTGAAGAAGAGAAAAGTTGGAACAATCTATTACATGTTGATTAGGCAACAAATGCCATATTTTAAATCAGCTTATTTATTGCAAGAAAAATGATTATTAAAGTAAAAATAAAAAGATGTTTTTGATGTTCTTTATGATTCAACCAGCAGTAGCTTCATATAGTTGTCATGTACTGTACACTGTACATGTAATGGTACTTAATTTAGCCGCAATCATATTTAATTGCATTTGTGCTTTTTCTTGTTCATTAAATAAGTACATGCTAATATATGATAACAATAAATACAACATATACAGTAAAGCTCGTTTATAACGGACCTGTTTACTCTTAGGATTTCGACTTATTATGTACGGATTTTGAGTTCAAAATATGTCTCACGTTTTTCTATAATAAAAATACGGAAATCCATTCGTTTGGATTTCAGGAGTTATAGTTATGATTCGTCTCAGTTTGACGCGTTTTAATGGCTGAATAAAAGAGAATGATTTCAAACGCTTAAGTGTTGTTGGGTTGCCAAAACGCGGTTGTTTAAGAAATGACAGAAACCCCTCGAAAGAAAGCAAGGCATGATGTTTTTCTTTGTTACTAAACCATGTTTTGGTAATCAAAAATGTAGTTGTTCTTTAGTAATATATGTAAAATCGATGGGAAGTGAAATCTTACTGGCAAATGCCAAATCTCACTGACAAATCTAATAAAAAATACCGAGAGACAACAATATGGGTAAACAGGTCTGCTATGAGGAAGCTACTGGGACTTCAAATTTGGCTTCTTTACAACCAAGATTCTTTATATATCCAAATAAGGAATATAATGAAAAGTTGCCTAGGTGATTCATAAAAGTGTCATTTATGTATTACATGCTGACAAATAATAACCTAACAATAAAAATTTCATTATAATTTCTGAAAATTAAAAAAAAAAAAAAAAAAAAAAATTAAGCCAAGGTATTGCCATGAAAAGCCCAAATTATGGACAGAACCATTTTATTAAAATTATTATAAGTTACTGAAAACTACAGAATGGTTAAGTGGAGTACATAGCCTAGAGGTCATAGGTGTTTGGCCAGAATGCATAAGTCGCTGTTTCAAGTTCCCCAGTGGGAAATTGATATTTGGCATTGTGTCCTTAAGACAAAACACTTCATCTGCACTTCTCAGTCCACCCAGCTGCAATGGGGACCAGCTTTTGCTGATGATTAACCTATGATGGACTGGTGTCTCATCCAGGGGAAATCATACTCCAGCATGCTAGAGGTTCACGGCAAGATACATTTGACTTGGCGCACAGAGGTATATAAGGAGGTTAGGGACGTTAACCGAGGCTCTTGTAGGAGTAGGGGAAGTCAATGACTCTCATCTGCTTAGCAACATAGATACATGTACCGGGTACGAGCTCTAGCCTTATGGCTCAGAGAAGGATTTAACCTTACAGAATGGAGTAAACACTCCTGTACATGTCATTGCATCTAAGGTCAAGGTAACGGCTATTAAAGATACAGGTAACAATATTTTCTGTAAAATTAATGTTATTTTTCTGTTTGATTTTACTGTGTTATGATATTAAACCTACAGTCAAGTTCCTCTATCTTAGGCTTCTGTTAGGCCCTTATGCCTTCTTGGATAGAAATCCTTAACTAATGTAGGGAAAATATATATATTACATTTTATACATACCAGGCATTTCAAAATGGAAAAATGGCATGCACTAGCTACCTACATAGCAGTAAAAAACAACTAGAAAAATGTGCTACAAAAGTGATTAACATTAATGAAAACGAAATAAAGTCCGTAGAATGTATACGATATTTGGGTGCATTTTTAGATGAAAATCTTAATTTCAAAGAACATGTAAATAGGAAATGTCGAACAGCAATGTTAAATTATCTAAGGATCAAAGGCATCCGCAAATATTTAACGAAGGAAGCTACGGAAATTTTAGTTCTATCATTAGTTATTTCACATTAAGACTATTGCAATGTTATTTTATTCGGCATAGCACAATACGAAATTAATAAAATGCAACGAATTCCAAACATGTGTGCCAAATTGGTTTTAAATCGGAGGAAATTTGACATTTCAAAAGAATCTCTATTTGATCTCCACTGGCTACCGATCAAAACTAGAATATCATTCAAGATTCTGACATTCATGTATAATTGTTCAGTGGGCCAAGCACCAGAATATCTAACTGAACTTCTGTCAAAACAAACTTCAAATCAAAAATTGCACTCTTCCCAAAATTCCGAAAGCTGTTACATAGTCCCATTTAATAAAAGAAAAACTTTCAGCGACAGGAGTTTTAGTACCATCGGACCAAAATTGTGGAATGAACTGCCTTTGTATATTAAACAATCAAAATCTATTGAGGATTTCAGAAACAACTTAAAAAATTACTTCTTTAGGGACTTTGATGCTTTATTTTAATGATTACTCTCCATGTACATTTGTAAATAATATGTAATTTTTTTTTTTTTTTTTTTTTTACAGTTTTACTGTACAACTCCATTGAATACATTTGTGTAAAAATAGGTGTTAATCAAATAAATCAGTTTCAGTTTCACATAATGTATTTTACAGATTTCTGTTTAGAGGGATTTGACTCCTCCTACTGCTTAAAACATCTGTACTCTGGCATTAATATTACCGCAAGCATTGGCTAAACATTTGGAGACCAAGAGTCATCTACCTCTGTCTTTATGATCTCCACCTTTCAAATCAGTTCATTTGACTTGCAAGAGTTGTCTTTCTTCAACTGATTGGAAATACACAAATTTTTAGAGAAAAAACATTTAGTAAATAAATATTATAACAACGATGTCCAGACAATGAGTATAAATACAGAACAATTCTATTATAGTAATAATTCTTTTAATCATGAAGTCTGAATTAAAAAAAAAGAATATAAGTGCAAACAAATACATGTACTTTCATTCTCACACGAAAACAATAAACATGCATTTTGATATAAATACAGTGATCTCATTCATATACATGTACTTGTATCTCTAGCAGGAAGTATTCTTCTTTTGAAAAAGTGCATTCAGTTTATAATTTGTTCCCTCAAAATGCCAAAACACAACGCCAAGGAACAAATCATTTGAAATAGGTTATCCTATATAATAGTTTCTTTCATTTCACATCAGAATATCATTTAACAAGCAATATACACAGGTATATAAAATAGATTTTTTTTCTTCATTAATTAGCTGCCTGCAGCATGATTTAAAACTTATAAGGCGAGACCTTCATTTATATAAAAGAAACTTCAATTTCCAATCTATGAAGCTCTTATTCATTGGCTAGTTTTCATATATCCAAGGCTAATCAAACATTCATAATGCATGATTGTTCTGACTGTTGATACATTTCCCTAAAAAATTTTAACTGAAAATAGTAAATGAAAGTTGTTTTTCAAATAATCAATGTTAAAAAAAATGAAATCATTTAAAAACCAGAATCAGTTTGACATATTCCTCAGCAACATAAAAAATATGTTAAGATTAAAGGGAAACAACTCTCTGCAAAAAAAAAAAATCACACTTAATTATCTGCAATATCACACTAACATATCAACATGATTTTGATCATCGTTAAACATGAACCCCTCTCGTCGGGCCCGCTCTATAAGCTTTTTGGACTCCAGTATAAAAGTTGAGTATGTGATGTGCGGATATTGCGCAACCAGTTCTTCGACTGCATCTGCCGTGACTGCGTCACATCGGATCAAGCCAAGATACCGCAGGGACGTACAGGTTGCAGACAGATTTCGAATGCCGTTGTCTGTGACTGCTTGACACCAGCCAATATCAAGGTTCTTTAGTGTTTTTGTGTACTTTCCAATTTCTCCTAAAACTACAAAAAAATAAAAATAAATAATTGTTCATGTAGATAACTTATCATTGTATTCGCAGAGGACACATCTTGATTAATTTAATTTAGACAAGAAATCACTTTAGACAATTGAATTCCATAATATTTCTCTAAATACAGTGTTTGTTACTCTAAATCTGGATGTTCATATAGCAGCTAGCTAGGCATCTCTGGTTATCGTCAATACGAGATGAACCCAAACTGGATCTTAATTGTTACATCTCTAGCTTAGCTAAATACATTTGTATGTGAGCAGTTCAAAGGATCTTTAGATTGACTTGAACTTTAACCTACTTACACTGGTCAGTGATGTGACAAGATACACACTGCAACAGATGAAGTTTTCTGCCATATTTGATGACCTTCAACAGACACTCATCATTTATCTGAGGATTCAAGGACACATTCATTGCCTCAAGGTCAGGGCAATACTGGGTCAAGGACGCTACATCTGTTGGCAAAATGCCAGGTAGACTAGATATGTCAATGATTTTTAACTTCCTAAGCTGTCAAATAAAAAACACAGTGATATTAATTTTAAAGACTACAATGTGGTCATTTAAAAATGTAAAATCTGCTACTTTCTTTATCAGAGAAGGAAAAATCTTAGTTTAATTTCAAGGAATTATGTTTTGAAATGTTGCATCAGTTTTTTTTTCTTTGTTTTTCCAACCATGTATGAAGAGTGTAAAGAGATTCAATCTGATCTCTTATCCACTACTTTTTAAAAGGTTTTGAGATTTTCCCTAATTATTCACCTGTTTGAGGGCTCTGACTCCCTTCTCACTGACCCCAGAAAACATCAGGGTCACGACCTCCAGGTTAGGGCACATCTCACACAATCTTACACAGGAAGAGTCTGTCACCTAAAAAACATATGCATATACATGTATACAGTAAAACCTCATAATCTTGAACTCTGTGGAACGAAGAAATAACTTCAAGATGTCTGAGGATTCAGATTAACCAGGTTAAAATACATAAAAAAAAAAAGGCAGCTGGGACTTCCAAGTGTCTTCAACATTTACATGGTATTCCAGATGTCATAGTTGGAGGTACTGAAGCTCAAGCATACAATCACATGAATTTCATGTTTATACATTTATTCTACAAGACAAAGTCTTTGGGAAATAAAAATCAGAATATACAAGTACCTCAGACAGATAAGCTAGTATAACTTCTCTCAGCTGTGGGCAGTTCTCGGCTATAGCTACCACTCCCTTGTCTGTCACATGGTATGAACATCGACTCAGGTTTACCTTTTGTAGCTCCTTACATCCAACTGCCATCTATCATAATTTACAAAAATAATTTACATTTTGTATTGGAAGTCACTACAAGTTCACAATTTTCTTCATTTTATGTTTTCATGTACACATGGTACTATAGTTCCAAGTTTAAGGATTGAACTAGAAAATATGCCTATTCAATTTTGCAAAAATTCATAATCCTTCATTTGGTGTGTAGTCTTTTTTATTAAGAAAATTATCTGAAAATTTTAAAGAATTTTTATTTTCATTTGGAACAATTTAGATCAAAACTCCTGACTTCACTGCCAATGAGGCAATGATACAATGTCTTTCTTTCAGATTTTTCATTTTTTTAGAATAAGCTTTTCTTCTTTTCTTTTTTTTTTTTTTTTTTTTTTTTTGAGTAAAGTAAATATCTAGCTCAATCTAATGGAGAGTGGAAGGTTACACATTAAAACTTGTCTAATCCAGATGCTCTTTTCTAATACGATGTTTACTTTTAAGTCCCTTTCAGTAAATTCAACTGATTAAACTGTTGTCCTATCTGTCCTATTTAGTCCAGCCTATTTCTATGAAACCAGTCTGCATTAGACAAGTTTCACTGTAACTTTACTTACAGCACAGAGTCCACCATCTGTAATTTTATAACACCCGTCCATCACTAGTGTGACGAGGTGGGGACAGTGGCTCCCCACGGTCTGTAGAACTGTGTCCTTCAACTTGTAACACCTGTGAAAGAAAAAGAGAGAAATCAATAGAAAATCAGGAAAGTGCAATTTAGAACCCCCACCCTACACCCCCCACAAAAAAGGCATTTTATTACAATTTTTGGGAGATAACCAATGGTACATGTATTCAGATTGGGGGAATGGGGTGGTAATGATATATATATTTTGGGAGATGGGGTAATGATATACATGTATATATTTTGGAGGATGGGGTAATGATATCTATATTTTGGTAGGTGGGGTGGGGTATTGATAAATTATATTTTGGGGTGGAGGGTGGGGGTGTGTCTATATTTTGGTGGGTGGGATAATGATATCTAGATTTTGGGGATGGGTGGGGTAATGATATCTTCATTGGGGGAGGGAGGGAGAGTAGAAAAAGGGGGGGTTAATGATATCTATATCAGGGGTGGGGTGGGGGGATAATTATATCAATATTTGAGGGCAGCTGGGCATGGAGTAATATCTTTATTTTCATGGCATTTGGAAACTTGTTTGTGAGCTATTTCAATAATAACATTCTAAAATAAATCAGATTTGAAATAGTATTTTAGGACTATGATCATCATGATGCATCGTTAAACATGTTAAAAAGGCAGATATTCAATTTTAAATGTTAAACAATTTTTTTCAACAGCTTCTTTAAATTTTCACACATTGTTTAGCTATCTGTTTCAAGTGGAAATTTTCTACAAAACATAAGATAGATGGTTTGCCATTGGGCAAATGTTGGGAATACATACTTGTATATCCAATAAGACATGGAGTGAAAAAAAACATTTCTTTATACATGTACTAACATGTATGTTCAACAAATATGTATGAACTGAAATAAAATTTTATGCATTATCATGTCAGATTGTATCCACTATACTGACCTTGACATATAAAGTGACCGTAAATGACCACACCACTTCAGAGCACGTTCCATAGCCTCAGAGGTCAAATTCTGAGTATCGCTGATGTCAATGTGGGTCACTCTGTCACTTATCTGGGTCAAGGTCAACAACTGTTTATCAGTGACCTTGTGTTGATAGTGAAGGTCAACATGTCTCCATAGGTCTGGGTCATACACAAGCTGATGCCAAAGTTTACAGACAAGGGATGCCTTGTGAAGTAGGTCACACATTCTTAAATGTTTCAATATATTCACGAGTATGGAAGGTGGGAGGTCATTAATGTTATTGACAGCTGTCAAAGAAAAACACACCCCCTTATTTGGTAGACTACCTACTGTGTTCCTGAGTTTATCTACCTGGTTGTCTGAGGTAATGGGTAGAGATTCAAATGTCGGGTAATTTTCACATTTCAAGTCACTTTGAGGGGAATGAGTATTTCTTTCACTTTCAACATTATCACAGTCTTTTATTTCTGAAACACCAAAGGAATTCCACGACCTATGTCCGAAATTTGGGGAATTTTCACCTAGACTTCTTTGTATTTTAAATTTAGTGATTCTTCTAGAGGTTATAATATCATTTACTGTAGACCTCTCATCATCACAATTTTCATGCTGTGTCCTGCCCGATTTCTGAGGTGGTTGCCTAACTGTCTCTCCACTTTCATCATCCACTTCTCCACTTTCATCATCCACCTCTCCACATTCTGGATCCACCCCCACTGCCTCCGAGTTGTTCTTCCTTGGTGGTGAATATAGAACCTCAAAACCTGGGTTACAAATCTGCTGGGGACTATTTTCATTACTGGGACTATTAGAACCTAACTTGCTAAATGCACAGGTACTTGAACACATACATGAATTTAGCAATGGGTCAGAGGTAAATTCAAGGTTAGAGTTCAATTTAAGGTCAGAGTTCACAGGGCACACTGAGTCACTGGATTTCTCACAACTTTTAACATTTTCACAGTTACAACTATCACACTTGGAATCAAGCAATTTTGAGCTACCCTGTCCTGAATGCAGATCTGAAAATTTATTATTGTCATAAGATGTGCTTGCAATATTTTCACTAGATATAGTTACTTTTGGGGAAGGCTGTACCTGAGTTGGCTTTGAGTCATTAAAAGGATATAAACTATTTGGTACATGAAAATTCTGAGGCATATTTTTTGGCACATACTGTTCAGGATTTATATTAAACGGAGATTTATTTGACTTGGATGAACATTTTTCACTTGGTGAACAGATATCAACATCCGAGTGAGACAGGATGGAATTAGAATTTCTCTGAGATGCATTAAGAGATCTGGATGTGGAGTCCGGATGGTCTGGATTACATCCGGAATTCTTACAGCTGTCTTCAGAACTTCCCTCCTCTGGATCTGTTCTCTTTCTTTTACATGGTCTATTCTCTTCTTCCATGGTGAACTATTTTCTAAGCCACTCTTGAATGGAAATAAAGTCACAATAGACAAGTATGGAAATTTTGCCACCTGATAACAGGAAAAAAAGTAACTTAAACATGTTAAATATTTAATAATTGACCCATGATAATTCAAAAGTGAGATTTCAAGCAGTTGCATATCTCTGTTATTTATGACTTTGAGTCGGGCCAGGATTTTCAAAACTGAAGTGAAAACTGTTTTTTATTTTTTGTCATTGACAATTACTTTAAGAATAATTTTGCTCTTTGATCGTGAAATTTTATACATATGACATGAAGTTAAAGACAATAAAATATGTCATCGCTGGAAGTTTTTACCTCAAACAACATGTATTTCTATTAATATTACCAATTGTCATTTTCCTGGTTGATAAAATGGGTAGCAAATCCAGTTTGGACATTTTTGTGTTTCATTTTTTAAATGAATACCTATAACAATTGATTGCAATTTCCTGTGTTGCATCAATGCAAACAATCTATCAATTTTTGAAATATTCATTTTGATTTTGTAACCTTCACTTACTTTGTTGAAAATTAATTTCCTCCATTTTCCGTTGTTGCCAATTTGAGCTAACTTGAATCTATACTTCATAGGGATGCTTTTGAATTAACATGACAAATAATGGCTTCGCTGTTCCTAAGATGAAAATTTTTATGATATATCCTTTGTATTCCTTTGTATAACTATGATCCCCTGTTATAGCCCCTCTATTCTCCAGTGGGATCATGATTTGAACAAATTTTAATCTACATTACCTGAGGATGCTTCAATTTAAAAATGACTAATCATGGCTTTGCTACTCTTGAGAGGATTTTTAAAGATTAATTTTCCCTATGCATTCTTATGTAAACTTTGATTGCCTATTGTGACCATACCCTACCCCCGGGGGTCATGATTTGAACAAACTTGAATCTACACTACCTGAGGATACTTCCATATAAGTATGATAAATCATGGCTTTGCTGTTCTTGAGAAGAAGATTTTTAAATGACGCCATTAATTTTTCACAAATTCATAATTATCTCCCCTTGGATTAAGGTGCGGCCCTTCATTTGAACAAATTTGAATCCCCTTTACCTAAGGATACTTTGTGGCAAGTTTGGTTGAATTTGGCCCTGTGGTTCTTGAGAAGAAGATAAAATTGTGAAAAGTTTATGACAACAACAGACAATTAATGGACAAATTTTGATCAGGAAAAAAAAGCATGAACGGAAATAGCTCTGACAATTTTTAAGGCCATTTGTGTATTTTGAGGTCAGTGATGAATACTAATGTCCAATGACTGTATCACTTACCTCAGACATTACACATCTCATGTGGATGACTAGATAGAACGTTCTATCATTAAAATGATATTGTCCTACGGACCTGGTTTAACGATAGAATTTGTTCCGTGTATTGGCAATGTTGCAAAATAAACATGGGCGATAACTCGAACTCTGTGCATTTTCTATGAACAATCCAGAGAGTTCCGAATGTCAACGTGGCGTTAAATTTGAAGCGAGGAAAAAACGCTGAGAAAATGAGTTGAAATTTCGTATTTATGAGGATTATTTTTTAGGTTAAAAGGCATATACAATCTCAAAAAGGTTTGTTATGATTAATTTGGTAGTTATTTTCAGTGCAACTCCTTTTGTATTCTTCGAAATCATTTTGGAGTGGATCCACTCCGATTTGCTACATTGCAAGTATATGGGACGTATTCTAACTGTGGTGAGGGCTTGTCCCGAGACACAGTTAGATTATTCTAACTAGTGGATGACTATATCATGACTATATATAAATGTTAATTTACAATGTACTTTCTTTTTTGCCCCATGAGAGCCCTTAATTGGTAAATAAACTAATTGAATTGAATTGAATTGTATTGTAGAAGTATCCTCATTTAACATGTTTAAGTTGCAGGATTAAGCAGCCTAGTACCTTCCTATCCTCTCTTCCTTTGATATATAGCAAATATAATGTGTACCAAGCTAGCTCTGCAGATATTATCTTACTTACCAAAGTAATTATCATATGTTTTTCATGTTTATAATATAATCACATGATAATAATACCAAATTAAGTTAAAGATAGTCCAAGAATATTTTTGTTTATTGTGTATTTAATTTAATTATTCATTTATTTATTTTTAAACTTTTAATTTAGTACTTTAATATATGAATTATTCAACCTTTTTTTTACATCAATCTCCATTATCTCAATTCTGTCATTTTTCGTCATTTCGGGATAAAACCTGGTTTTCATTTTCGTAAATACAGGCCCGGCACGGGTTCTACCCATTTTACCAAACTCCTATGCGTGTCTTCATGACACATAACCTGCTACTGATAATTTTGACCAAAGAACCGAGTATCAATATTTGTTATAAAAAGAATCTATACTTACTTTTTTGCAAAAATGAAATAAATCTTTATGTAAACCGTCAAACGAGTTTCGCTGACATTTTCGGGGAAATATGAGTTCTACGTCACGAAGAACCTTTCGGGTTGCATCGAAATTTATCTACATTGTTCCGATCCCGATTTGATTTTCAATGGCTTTCTATGGTATAGAAATAGATGAAAAGAAATAATAAATCGTGGACCTATTATTTTGTCTTGTTTTATATCAAATGGACTAAGTTGCTAAGAGCGAGAGAGTAATTTTGATTTTATTCGTGAGCATAAAGAATCGGGGTTTAAATTTAATCATGCATGCTGGTATAATAGAATTAAGGGCTAAAAAATAAAGGTGTTTGTTCCTGGAACAAAAATTGTATGCTGGAAACAAACATTTTTTTAACCATAATAAAAATTTAAAGCAAATTATAAATTATAGAATTCGAATTGATTTTTCAAGAAAAAAATGTCACAAATTCGTTTTCTATCGAACTTGAATTGGTTATTAAAGAAAAAACATCGCAAGTTCATTTACTACAATGATAAGCAGTGTGAAATGGTTTGTAATATTGCATTGGGGTATTTTTTTTCAATCGATCGTGTTAAGTGGTCATAACTACTTTAATTTCATATAATTGTCACAGCCTTATATAAGTGGTAAAATACAACACAACACGGCTGCTGGGTTCGATGTATATATATAATACATGTATATATTCTACGATTATGGAATTTTATAACATAGAAGGAAGGGTGACCTGAAATATAACAACAGGTATTAAATATCTCTCGCCTCACTCACACTTTTACGCGGATCATAATTTAAATTTTATAAATTTGGATAATTTAGAAAATACTCGATTTGAATAAAATGATCAAATAGATATTGAATAATAATTGAATCCTTAGAAATAATATACCAATTATTTCTTACCGTAATTCCTAGACTGAAGTTCACAATTATCGTGAGATAAAGTTGTGTTGGGGAGAGAGAGCGTCTTCTCTCCCCAAAGTCTTAGGTTGGAGTGCTCGAGAATTAGTATTGGCGCGAATGCGCAGGGGACAGAATAAAACCAGTTTGACCACTCACACACCCGTACTCTCACTGACCACTCACCCGTATAAATGAATGAATGAATGAATGAATAAGGCAATGAATGAACGTAGTAAATTCCGTAGTGAGAACGGAATTCACTAGTTATTATAATAATATAATGTCTTAGACAAATGTATGAATATGATATGAATGATAATTAGTAATATTAATTAATTAATTATAATTCACCCTGTGACATAATAAAGCAAAACAATTTAAGATTTTTTTCCTAGTGATATACTAAGACAAGAACATACATAATATTATAAACCGAAATATGACTTTTTTTTTCATTTTCATATCATAAAATCACATAAATTTTGTATTTATATATACCCCCCCCCCCCAATGAGAGGCGACATCTTCCCGCACCCACCTTAAATTCTGTTACAAATGAACAGAAAGGAATATATGTTACTTTTGTAGAATATTATATTATCAAATATTTAATAGGAAGGTAGCAAAGTTTTTTTCAAAGGAGTAGGTGCAGGGGGGGGGGGGGGGGTGGCTGCAGAATTTTATTTATATACTTAGTCCTCTTCGTGCTGGTCAACACACAAGGCCGCCACCAGAGACTTCCATGCTGGTCTGCCTTGTGTCCATCTCTAGACCTGTCCCCATGTCCAGTTGTTCTCAATCATTTCTTTTTCCAATGATCTTCTTCGGGTCTTTTTTGGCCTTCCTCTCTTTCTCTTACCGTTTGGCGTCCCTCTCAATGCAACCCCTATGTGTCCTATCCACAGCCAGTTTCTCTTCCTTATTAATGGGATATAGAGGAGTGATGTTAATCTTTTTGTATACAGCTCTTCATTTATTTGAGATGGTATAAGGCCAGCAAATGCGTAATGTTCTGCAAAGACAACATATCTGGAAGGCATCTAGCTTCTTTGAAATGGTTTTTGTTACTTTCCAAGACTCAGCACCATACAAGGGACCCCAAGCACATTGCTTCTGAAAACACCTAATTATGGTGTTTATGCTGACCTTTGCTGACCTCTAGATGTTTCGCGATGCAGCATTCGCTTCTGTGGCTTTAGAAATCCGAGCTAGTACATCTACTTCCAAGTCCCCATCTGTGGTGATCTTACTCCTAGTTAGACAAAGTTCTGTGACATTTTCAATTTTATACCATTTAGGGTGATGGGTTCGTCTGATTTAGTGTTGATCTTAATGATCTTAGTTTTTATGTTATTGATTTTGGGACCAATCTTTTCCTGCCATTTTTGCAAGCTGGTTGTTTTTTTTCTTAGATATCATGATATCGGTAAGCTAGCAGTGCTATACATCTGCAAAATCTAGATTTTTAAACATTTCTGACATATCCCGACTGATTAATTCCCATCCGCTTGTTCTTTACGTTTTCTCGCATGACCCACTCAATGCAGAATGTGAAGAGAAGAAGGGAGAGCAGACATCCCTGTTTCACTCCTGTCTCCAATTTAAACTATAGATCCTCTGATAGGATCGATCATAACTCTAGCTGGCATTTATATGCCTGTTTACAGCATTGTAATGATGGAGATGAATTTATCTGGGATCCCATAACGACTGAGGCCGGATTTTTTCTAAGGCTAGGCGATTAACACTGTCAAAAGCTTTCGTAAAGTCGACAAAATTGATTGAAAGTGGAGAGTTCCATTTATTTTTCTCCTCTAGTATTTGTCTGAGAGTGAATATATGGTCGGTACATGACCTTCTCTTCCTAAAACCTGCTTTTTTCGCAGTAGGGAATCTGTTACTTCTGTGATTCTGTTAAACATCGCTCTGATCAGAAATTTTATGGTTATTGAGATCAACATTATCCCTCTATTGTTGTTGCAGTTTGAGCAATCTCATTGTTTTGATAGTTTAACTATAAGTATATGTTCTCCAGGAATTTGGTGTCTCTTCTGAATACCAGATCTTCTGAAGAATATTTGTCAAGATGGTTGGTGTCCAGCATTCCTCGGCTTTGTGAAGGTCTACATCTATCTGATTAATACCTATACCGCCTTTCCTTTTTAGCTCATCTGAGCCAAAGGATCAAGTGAGCTTTTCTCATCGAAATTTATCCATTGTCTGTCGTTGTCGGCGTCGTTGTTGTTGTTAGAACTATGCCAATTTCAACCAAACTTGGCACATGGTATCCTTGAGTAAAGGAGATTCAATTTCATGCAAATGAAGGGCTAAAACCCTCTTCCAAGGGGGGGGGTAATTAAGAAATAGTGATATTGGTTGGGGTAATTTAAAAATCTTCTTTTCAGGAACCACTTAGGCATAAAAAAGAAACTTATTTGAAAGCTTTTTGGGGGTAGTGTAGATTCAAGTTTGTTAAATCATGTCCCCAGGGGTAGGGTGGCGCTACGATGGACAATCAAAATTGTACATAGGAATACGTAAGAAAAATCTTTAAAATTCTTCTTATCAAGAACAGCAAAGCCATATGATAAGTCATGGAAGCATCCTAAGGTAGTGTAGATTCAAATGTATTCAAATAATCACCCGTAGGGTAGGATGGGATCATGATGGGCGATCAGATTTTAAGTAGAAATATGTTGGAAAAATATTCTTTTAGGGAACAGCAATGTCATGATTAGTCATATATATATATATATATATATATATATATATATATATATATATATATATATATATATATATATATATATATATATATATATATATATATATATATATATATGAACTGTTTTATGATAAATTATGCAAAAAATATGTACTTTAATATGCGTATGATATAAATATGCAAATTTGTATATAAATGATGTATGATATTATTTGCGCCGAATTTATGTACATGTATATGTATAAAAACTATCTGGTTTATTCCTTTTTTATGTCTTTCTCCTATCAATCATGCAACTCTTTCTCTCTTGTGTGTATGTATATTGTTTGTTTTGAACATATTTTATTGACTAAATCAAAAGGATTGGAAACAAGTTCTTACAACTTACTAGTTCCTCTCCTTAAATATATTACTACATGTCATGCAATTGAAATAGTACACAGAAATATAAATTTAAAGAGTGATACAAGTGAAATATCTGTTCAATAACATAGCAAATTTAAAATCTACAGGTTTCATCAATAAATTTATGCACAGCAGCAAAAATATTTGTATTGGTTTGTAAAGGCAAATTTACATCACCCCATAATAACAAATTTGTGTCAATAGTGAACAATTCGTCAAGAAAAAATAGGCGGTTAAAAAGATTATTCCTAGCGTTTGGGTAATTTCTACAGGCAAAAAAGAAATGATAAACATCTTCATACTTTCCACATGAACATAAAGGACTATTAATAATATTTCGTTTGTGTAGATCATAGTTAAGTATACAATTATGTCTAAGTTTAGTATGGATTGATTATATTTGTATAACGTTTGCCAAATGAAAAATAGATTGGGGGATTTTTTAGTTCTGTAGTTAAGTTTTTATGAAATGCATTGAGTGAGATGGCTTCTCTTGTTTCTATCTTTAATAAATTCCACTGTTTCACAGCATCGGGTATAAAAGACCTTTTGTATAATTCTAATCTGCATCTTGGAGCAGTGAATTGTTCTTTATTACAGGTATTATATTTTGATATTTTTTCACGCTTGTGTGGAACAATATCATTCAAGCATTCAGGTACACAACCATTGTGAATTTTGTACATAGTCGTCATTTTTGCGACATAGCGCCTAAATTTCAACGTTTCCCAGCCAGTTTCAGAGTAAAGTATTTCTCTTGACACAAAAATTGGAAGTCCTGTAACAATCCTAGCTGCAGATACATGTAGTTGAACTCTTTCAAGCTTTTCGGCATCAAGGTTAGAGCAGCCATCCCAAACAATAGAAGCGTATTCGAGCGAGGGTCTGATAAATGTGACGTATAATTTTGAAAGGTGTGTCCTACCAATTTTAAACTTAAGTTTTTTTAAGAGCCCAAGTTTTTTATAAGCACTTTACAGTGCTATCAATGTATTCTGACCAGCTAAGGTTTTGTGACAACAATAGACCTAAGTGACGATGAACTGGGACACACTCCAGTCTGTCGCCTTTAAAAAATAATTTAGGCATAACAGAAATATTTTTCTTGTTGAAAAAAATAACTTTTGTTTTGGAAGGGTTGAATTTTAGAAGCCACTGATTTGACCAAAGTTCCAGAATATGTAAATCGTGATTTAAATTATATTCAATATCAAGTATATTGTTTGAAGATTTTTGAAGCGAATTATCATCAGCAAAAAGTCTACACATTGATAACATATTTACAGCAACATCATTTACATATATCAAAAATAAAAGTGGACCTAAAACAGAACCTTGGGGTACACCTGCAAAAATATCTAGTTATGATGATAACAGATCCTTATACATTACTTTTTGTGACCTTTTATACAAATAACTAGAAAACCACTGAAGAAGATCACCTGATATACCGTAAGTTTGTAATTTAAAAAGAAGCCCCTTGTGCCATACTCTGTCAAAAGCTTTTGAAAGATCGCAGAAAACCATACAACATGATTTACCTTCATCAATATTTTGAACAATACTATGATATGTTTCTAGTAATTGATACACAGTGGAATGACCTGGTAAAAATCCTGCCTGATATCGATAAAACAAATTATTACAATGAAAATAATTGTACATATGTTTGAAAATAATTCTCTCCATAATTTTGCTAACACAAGATAGTAACGACACAGGTCTATAATTAGAAACTAAAGAGGGATCATCTTTTTTAAACAGGGGAATAACATGAGCGATTTTCCAAAAAGCTGGAAACGTTTTTTCTGATAAAGACCTGTTAAACAACAATGTAAGTGGTTTAGCAACTGTATAAAGAGTAGATTTTAACATTTTGTGACTAATACAGTCAGGACCTATGGCTTTGTTCACGGGAAGAATTGATATAATATCTATTACTTCTTGTTCCTCAATGACAATATTACAGAGTGTGTCACTACACAAATTGTACATGTTTGGTAATGTTTCATCTGAATCGTCAATTGTCGAAATTGAAGAAAAATACGAATTTATCGCTTCAATCTTATCGATATCTGAATAAGCAAAATGTTTTATACCGTTATCATTATTTATTTCTATTGGTGGGATTTCGTTGGACAATTTCACGTTGAATGCGTCTTTCATCAACTTCCAATATAGTTTATTATTATTTTTGCTTGAATCCTCTAAGAATGTATCTATATTGTCGTAGTAATTTGTTATCGCATATTTTTTCATATTATTTACCGAATTTCGAACCGTTCTGTATGCGGCAAAATCAGAATCTTTTTTAGTTTTGTGTGCTTTCTTACGAAGTCGGTTCCTAGTTCTCATTGTTTTCCTTAAAAGTGAGTCAAACCATGGTTTGTCGCGAGGACGTATATATATATTATCTAAATGTATATTGTATTACATGTATATGACTATATACATATAAATGTTAATTTACAATGTACTTTCTTTTTGCCCCATGAGGGCCCTTAATTGGTAAATAAACTAATTGAATTGAATTGAATATTTATAAGGAAGGCATCCTCAGATTCAAGTTCGTTCAAATCATGACAACTGGGAGTAGGGCGTTTGCCATAATATATTATCTAAATTTTACATAGTAATATAAAGGGGGGAATCTGCTGATGAGGAATACAAGGTTTACAGTTACTCAGGTGAGCATTGTGGCCCATGAGCATCTTGTTTAGTTTCGATCGCTATTGCCTTTTTTACCTCTTCTACACGGGTGGATATGTTCTATTGTCCATTGTGTCCATGACTGGTGTTATCAGGACCTCATTTTCTGTATCATTAATATTGAACACTTCCTCAAAATGTTTATTCCAGCGTTCTTTTGATACTACATTTCCTTTTTTATCTCTAACTGGTAAATGACTGAAATTTATCTGCTAGTTATTTTGTTACTGACGATAGAAGGTCTGCATATCTTGTTTGGAAGCTGTTTGTTTTGCTTCATCAGCTAGTCTTTCAGTGTATGCCTTTCCGCTTGCTCTTATACTCTTCTATACTTCTTTGTCTATTTCCCGATATTCTGCTTGGAGCTGGTCTTTTTTTCTTTGATTTAGTTGACAACATTTTCTTTTCTTTTGCTTTTCTACTATTTTTCCATGTACGTGCATTATGAGAGATCTGTTCTTCTTTTTTTCTGCAGAATTCTACATGGGAAAAAAACTGTTTGTGTAAACCCGAAATTCGATATTGTCGTTTGTGTTGGGGTGTGGGGGTGGACTTATTTCCCCAATAAAAGGATTTGGCATATATAGTTCGATCATATTACCAAAAATAAATAAATAAATAAATAAATAAATAAATAAATAAATAAATAAATAAATAAATAAATAAATAAATAAATAAATAAATAAATAAATAAATAAATAAATAAATAAATAAATAAATAAATAAATAAATAAATAAATAAAAATGGTGAGGTGGAAGGGGGTGAGAAAGCAGTAGTGTATGAAGTAAAATGAACAATTTTCAAATTCAAACTACAGTAAAAGACATGTTCCTTTAATGGAATAATTTTTAAATTAAAAAAATAGTTTGTGTACTCTAAATTTCGTTTATTTATTTATCTATTAGCCAATATTTCGATTTTGGTGTCAATTACCCCCAAAAAGTAACATCCTTCACGTAGGTGTGAAATACTGAACAGAAATTTTGATCGGGTTAGATTTTTCTGAGAAACCTATTTAGAGGGGTTCCGAAAAACTACACGCGAATTGATGACATCACAGCACAAAAATCGGGAAAGCGGAAGCTCCGATAGGATATGCAGTGGTTTTCCAACAGAAACTGATTATATCGGTGATCTCTCAGATCATAATGTAAACATCAGGATTTAGGCAGCTAGAAAAACACCACGTAGGAGCGTAAGTGTCAGTTGAAGGCATGTGGCTGCGAGTGTCAAGTTTCTTTTGGGATTAAGTATCTGCACCCGTGCACACACCCCGCTTCTGGTTGTGAATCAGCCAGACTTTGTGCATTTGTAGCATCTTCTGCTTATAATTTATATTTATGGGATTATTTACTCTTATGTCATAAAGCAATTTGAAGTACGTAAGGAGAGATATTGTTTAACGCATATATCACACCTTGTTAGTTCAAAATAGGTAAAGCCAAAAGAAAAAAAATGCATGTTTTCTTGATAAGGGTGACTCATATGCAATTGGTCAAACTGGACATTTCTTCAAGGTCAAGGTTAAGTGATGAATACATGTGACATTAATCTTGTATGCATTTTGTCCTTAATTTAATTGCGAGCTTGTTAAAAAAGTTTCTTTTGACATTTTGTCACAATGATTTTGTTTAATGTGTGCAACACATTGATGATGGTATTGGCAACTTGTTTCTTTCCTTGTGCTTTGAATGATATCATTTAGAATTTCATTTGTGTCCTAAGCTACTCTCTCAGTAAATGATGTACAGGGTAAAAAAAGATAAATATTTAAGTTAAATTTAGAATTTTTTTGCAAATCACTTTCCTCTTTTCATAGGATGTGACCAATGGTATTGCCAGTTTGTATTTGTTTAATATGAAAAGTCTCTCATTGGTCTCGGCATTTTTTTTTTTTTTTTTTTTTTTTTTTTTGCTTATCTACCTATCAAATAAGATAACAGACTGAAGTGAAAGAGGAAGGAAAAATGGGAGTAATTTCATTTGAAATAAAAGCTGTGTAGATTATTTAGTGAAAAAAAGATATTGATACAGGTTAAACACTGCATTCTTCAAAGACTAAATTATAGAGTAAAAGAATAAAACATCCTTGTTCAGAAAGATTTGATTAAAGTTATTTTTTTAAAAAAAAAAACATTTATTCTTTTTCACTTATTAATTTAAACTGACATAATAGCTCAATATTTTCATCTTCTTTTTTGGCCTGTTAGGAAAATTTTGAAGTTGCAAAAATCTTGAAACAGATTGTACAGCCACATAAGGACTTGATGTTAACAATGTAAATTGATTTATATACTTTTTTTGAATCATATTCACATTGTTCAATTAACAATATGTTATAAACTAACTTGGTATTGTACATGTTATAGATGCATATACTGCTTCTTTACTCATCGTCATGTTACAGAAGTGGGAATCAATTGAAGTTTTACATGTTGACCCAATTTTAAGTAACCAACATTTTAGACTATATAACAGTGTATAATTTTCATTTTTTATATAAATATATATGAAGTTCATGTATCATACCTTCTTAAAAGGGGTAGGCCATCATTGTACACTGTTGTAAATAGTGAAAGTCATCATTATTAATTTTATCATTTCTATTAAGTGGTGTACCTCTTAAGCCTCAGACTACAGAGTTGTACACAGAGAGATGATACAAGTATTCCCCCCTCATTTTGAGGTTTTTGAGTACCTGGGACTATTTCATCAGCACTGCAGTACCGTCCAATGATAATTAACTTATGTACATTATATTATTGAGGAAGTAAAACATGTAATGCTAAACAAGATCATATCAGGAACTTAACATGCTTAAGAAATGAATATTTGAACTTCAAATTTAGATGCACTACATCGTACATATCATAGAGAATCTCTTACCAAGTCTAAAACACCCAAGTGTTTTTTAAAATGCACATACTATTAAATAGAAAATTTTCATGGCCACATATAGGCAACAAATGGGGGCAGTGGATTAAAGGAGCAAAGGCTGTGTTCACATATTTTTTTTCAGTATCAATTTTCTTAGATCTGACCTATATTTTCCAGATGAGTGACTACGTTAAAGTTTTTGGAGCAGGTTCATTCTAAGTAACTAGTTGCCCTACTTGGACCAAACTTGCATGGGTGATACATCTTAGGATGCACACTACTGGACTTTCTTCAGATTCTGAATTGACCTACATTATCCATATGAGTGATCAGGTTAAACAGTTTCTTGTAAAATGACTATAAGCCCTCTGCTAACCAACTTTGCATTGAAGATACATTTATTGATGCACACGACAGAGTTGCTTTTATTAGATGCTGGATCTGACCTACATTTTCCAGAAAAGTGACAACGTTTAAGTTTTTGGAGCAGGTCTATTCGCAAGCAACTATAAGACCTACATGGATCAAACTTGCATGAATGATGCTGCTCATTCATGTAGGGATGGACACTACCAGACTTGCTTCAGATGCTGGACTTGACCTACATTTTCCCGATGAATGACCAGAATTAGATTTTTAGAGCAGGTCCATTCCCAAGTAATTTTAAGACATACCTGACCAACTTGCATGGATGATGCATCTAGGGATGCACACTACTGGATTATTAGATAAGTGTGGAACTTTGCCTTACTTAAACTTAAAGACAACATTTGTTGATGTGAGCTCTGTAATCGCTGATTACCCATGTTTTTTTTAATACTACAGTCAAAGATAACCAAAATTTGTTACATATTTTTACTGTATCCAGTTATTTTGTTAAAGCTTTTAGGTTCTTGCAGGTGCCATGATAGTACTTCACTGTAAAAGTGGAAACTGATGAAGTGGAATTATTGACAAAATTATTGAATGACTAATTATCATCAAAGTTTCCACTCGTCAGTTTTTAAATTAATATTTTTGTTAAAGAGCACTGTGAAGTACTACCAGAAAATCAAAGTTTTCACGCGCCATATTTCTAAAATATCGAAATCGTCAAACTTCCAACCCTTCTGATCAATATAATCACTTTTACTGTATTGTATGCAGATATCCATTGTATACACGCTGGTAGGAAACACTGAATGCTGTATTCTGTAACAAGACAGACAAATTATTATTTATTTTGATTTAATTAATTTCCTTGATTCTGCATTAATTGCCCAGGAAAATTGATTAATTTCATGTAGTCAGAAAATTATAATATAATTCTTCTTGAATATTTAAAAAGAAATTATTTTCCTTTTTTGCAGGGTTCCTTTAGTATGAAAGATTTTCAAATTCAAGTTTATTTTTTCACTCAGAACCGTCTAAAACATATGGTACCTGAGAACAATGTAAAATTATAGAACTTATTTACGTGTAGTTTGGACTTTCAGCTAGAACATTTCTACATGATGTACTGTAGTTTGGATTTTCAGCTAGGTGTTACTGACAAAAGACAAGTTGATGTCACAGGAAACAATTTTTCTATCAACTAAACTCTGTAAAATTGACTTGACTTTCCTCTGCTGAGGCTTGCTCTATTGTGAAATATTCACATAATTCAGTCCACATTCATTGCTTTACAGTTTGGTGTGACGAAAGTACAGTCAAACTTCGTTATCTTGAACTCAATGGGGCCAAGAAAAAACTTCAAGATATCCAAAGATCTGAGATATCAAGGGTGAAATACTTAAAGAATAAGTAGTTGGGACATCCAAATCACTTAGACACATTCATGGTATTTGAGATACCTGTGTTCAAGATACCGAAGTTCAACAGTATAAGCATGTCATGATCACTGCTTACCAAGGTCCAAACAGTAGATTTGTTACGTAATATTATACTGGTAACAATTATTGCTGTTTTTGAGGTCGATACGATGATTGATCCACCTGAGGAGTACAATGTTCAGCGAGCCCCAAAAGACACATAAAATGATAGCGACCTTGAAAGCTATCACTTTCTGTGTCTTCGGTCAATATCACTTGACATGGGTCCTTATAACCACATTTTGACCTACACTGAAGTCCATAATTATATGATATTATTTAAGGAATGATAAGTACCCATGTTACCAAAGCAAGATTTCTGTTTTTGAGCAGGTTTATTTTTGAGCAAGTTTTGTATTTTAGAGCAAGATTTCTATTTTTGCTTCCATCTTCCTTTTGAATGTTGTCAAAATTATAGAAAGAAATCAGTGCAGAGGATTAATTCTCCTTAAAGCGATCCTGTCACTAGCACCCTAAATTACAATGCATCCTATACCCCCCCCCCCCCCCCCCCCCCCCCCAATTTAATCTTTAATCTTGCCAGCTTAAATGGAAAATTAACCCTTCAATGTCTCAGAAAGATTCGCAGGTATAAACACAATAAATCATTGGTGTTCACTGTATTGAATGTGGTGTCGGTAATTCGTGTACTTTATTTTACAGAATAAAGTACGAGGATGTAATAATTCTGTTTGTCCTTGAGACCTTTATGTTGAAGTTTTTTACTGCAGTTGATAATTTCACTTAATATGTTTTACTGACTGGAATAGAAATAAAACTCCATAAGGAAGAAGATCCTTGCCCTAAGTGTAAAAAAAATTACTGTGCTATTTAGGGATGACTCAACTTTTAAGGAGGAATATCCCAATCATGATGTAATGATAAGTGAACCTTTTAGATCTTCCCGTAAAGAAGAGTGTTTTTCATGTATAGTAGCTTAGTTTGTTTTTCCTAGATTTTAAAGAGGAATTTACCATAATTAGTAATACATGGTGGTTTATATTGATATAGCATGAAGAATTTTTCAAAATTTTAAGAAATATGCTTTAATCATGTTAATATAAGTATTATAAAAAATGATTTTTTTTCATTGGCAAAGCCCTTTAAGTATCGATCAGATAAATGCACACTTTGTGCAAATTAGATTGCAATTGACATGATTGAAAATTTATTTTATTAAAAAATCAAATTTAAAAGTACATGTAAATAACGTTTAAACATAAATTACATTTTAATTACTGACTTCCTTAATATATGAGCATAAGTCAAAACCTATAGCAGCTGGAAAACAAAACTACATATTAAGTTAAAATAAGCAGCTGACCTGAAAAACAAATGTTCACAAGTGAAAATAGTACTTCCTGATTTTACATTTAAAAAACCCCCTCAACTCTTGTGTGTGCATGTCGACAGTCAAAAATGTACTTCAAAGTGTCAACATTAACTGCTCTTGATCCATCTTTTATCATTCCACGAAATTAAGTTTCTGTTGAAGTGAGTGGTTATAGCTAGAATTTGGTACACAAGATTTTATTTTGAATCAATTTTGATAAGATTAGAGAGCACTTTAATGTGCCATGATTAGGGATAAGGGATGTGCGATTTTATCGGTATACCGGTATATCACGATTTTTTATCGTGTGATACGTATCGTGATACAAAGACTAAAATACCGGTATTTGGTACATAACTAGAAATATTTACATTTCCAATGTCTTTGTCCGAGATAAAATTACGAATTGTAAAAATACTTTATTTCTACATAAATCTACTGGTTCATCGATAGGTGCGGTAAAAAAAAATCACGTGCGGGGCGGGACAAATAGAGACAGAAGCGGGGCTATTAGCACGGTAATTTGCAGAATCAGGAGCATGTAAATATAAGGAATAACTGTTTAATTTTTTGGATTCATGACGATGATCAATCGATTGGCTTGCGTGATAATTTTATGCATAAACGCCTTTGGCGTTTATGCAAATTATCACGCAAGCCACTTGATTGATCACATCATGAATCCAAAAAATTAAACAGTTATTCCTTAAATATTCATTTGTTTGTTAAATCTATTGAATGACAATTACAGGAAGTGTAAAAAATGTTGAAAACAGTTAAACAACTGCATCCAAACATTCTTTATATTAAATAAATAAATATTTAAACAGTAAAGTTATGTTTTTATAGCATATTTTTAGGAAATATTATGGAAATTCATATGAAATTGTAGTAAAAATTGTATGTAAAAATATCACGATTTATCATGATATTTTTTGGGGAAAATCGTGATATATCACAATACAAAATTTCTGCCGATACTCATCCCTAGCCATGATGTACACATTTAATTTTGACTATTTACATCATGTTACATAATTATTTTAAAATTTATACTACTGTAAGAGTATTTCATACATAACTCTTTCAGTAATTTGCTTTATTAGGTTTGTCACTTTGGAAAACAGCCTATTTCCATGTATTTATACTGTGTGTATATTTTTAGCACTGTTTCTATTTTTAGCATGGGTTTTGGAACTGAGTTCCAAGGGAAGAAATCCCATGAAGTTCTTCTTCGAATCCAGGAGCATGAAATTCGACTATTGGAGGTGATGAAACGGTGCCTCAACATCCGAGTCAAGAGTGATCGCAACTATGCAGACGCCCTTTCAGGATTGGTCAAAGAAGCCCAGAAATTTACTTGTCCAGAATTTCAACCCATGCAAGCAGTCTTCCAGGTTATTTAGATTTAGTCTTAACTCCCAAAATTCAGATTAATACATTTATTGTATACAGGGTTATATTTGCCCTGTGTTATTTTAGCCCAGTCACATTTGCAAACAATTTTGCCCCATAAACACAATCATATTTAAAGAGAGATAACCCTGTTTTGTCTAGATTTGCCCCATTTTGAATTCACCTACTGACAACAAGGGCAAAAGGGGCTGAAATAAAATGGGGATGAAAATTTTCCTGCATACTTGTACACTGCAGGTTGACCTTTTACAATAATAAATAGGGAGATTTGAATGTATAATATTATATTTTTCTCTGTGTTTTTAAAAAGTTAAAAGAAAACGCACTTATTACTGTAATGGGAAATAAGGGTAACTACTTGTAATTTCATTAGTTGTAACATGTATTGTGATTGGTTAACTTTAAGGGACATGCAAATTGATTGGTTAACTTTTTTGATTGACAGGCCTGGGATGTGGTGCTACAACAGACAGACAAACTGTTACAGTACATCAAACAAAACGCACAGAAGATGGAGTCGGAGACGCTGACACACCTCACCGATCTCATCAGCAGGAAAAAAGACGCCAAGAAATTCTACATAGATGAACGGAGTCGCCTAGAGAAGGATTTCAATAAGGTTACTAGAGAAAGATGTCTGTTTTTTATTCAGCAGTGTGTACTTCTATAATTGATGATTTTCCTCAAAGAACCACTCTAGAACTGTAGATAAATTCATCTGAGACTCTTTCCCTATCAAATTCACAATGGGCAGCTTTGGGTTTGGAAACTATTAAAAAAATAATCTGTTCACTGTATGCTTTTATAATTAAGGCCAAAAAAAATTATTCAATAGTTTCTCAGGTACTGCCGCATCAGGTCAAAAACGGCCGCATTGATCAACTTTATTGACATTTTGAAAAGGGAAATAACTCAATTTTCTATTTTTCCAAGAAGAAAAAGTTAAATGAGTTATTTCCCTTTTCATAACAATAATAGATAGACGTTTTTATTAGGTAAACAATATTCTTCTAGTCTATACAGTCCTTTATTAATTAACTTTTAAAGAAATGTTTAGAATAACATAATTTAAAGTTGAATACATTATAATTAGTATATTGAGAGAACAAAAAAGTGAGAATCAGTTAATATCATCATTTTGTTGAACGACGGACATGAAAAAAAGATACCTGGTAAAAAAAAAAAAAAAAAAAAAAAACCTGCCTGTCGCATTGAATTTTGAAATTTTTGGCCTGAGAAACTATTAATTAATTTTTTATGGCCTAAACTGTATCTTGTAGATAAAAAGTCAAATTTGATACTTTAAACATATTACATATTATAGTTGTGTATTCAGCACCTTTTTCGGAAAGCAGCTTCCGCTAAATCAAGTACACACTAACTCTCTTGTGTACACATATAAAGTACAGTTGAACCTCGTTATCTCAAACTCGTGGGACCAAGAAAAATCTTCAAAATTCCGGGTATTCGAGATATCAGAGGTAAAATACTTAAAGAATAAGTGGTTGGGACTTCCAAATCACTTTGACATATCCATGGTATTTGAGATATCAGTGTTCGAGATATCGAAGTTCAACTGTATGTACATTCTGAAAGATCTAAATCAAATCTACGCTAACTTGTTGAAAAATCAGTTTCTATCAAATATCCTATTGGTCAAATAAAATACATGTACATTTACAGTGTATTGTATATGGCTGGAGTGTCAAAGAACATCAAAGCAACTAATATTTTGATATTTTATTTGAGTCTAGAATTTATAATGAAGCTAGGACTGTTCCCTTTCTAAACATCATTGCTATTCAATAAGATATATGATATGTGGATGTAAGTTCAACATAATGCTGTATAGGGGTCAAAATTGGCAAGTGGTTAATTTCCTTTGATTTTTTTTTCCTTTGCCCCCAACTCATAAGTGTTTATGAGTACAATCAGAGTAAAGTATGCATACAACATTATCATATAACATCCTGTATTCTACTACGGTTATTGCAAAGATCAAAGAGGTACCACGGCCATTATTCTCCAATAAATCACAAACGTCATCAACAAATTATCGATAGTTTTAAATCGGTTTCCTCTTATTTTGACTGCCTTCACTAGGAAAAGGATAGAGGTATTTGATTGTGATGCAAATTGGTGGGAAAAAATTTACTTTTGAGTTCAGATTACATCGTACTTTTTCTAATCCTTGAGATACAAATGAACGAGGATAGCATTCAATTGTGATGTAATAAGACACTAGTGATGACGTCCAAATCTAATTTCAGCTTTTCTATATATAGAAGTTTAAAATATTCGCCGTAGCAGAATAGAAATAATACCCTCGTCGTCGGAATTGTTGGAGAATACACCCCTCAGTCTCGAGATTTTGTTGGCAAAAAAAAACCTTGCCCTTCGGGCTCAGTTTTTATTTGCCAACAAAATCTCTCAACTATCGGGGTATATTCTCCAACAATTCCTCCGACGCGGGAATTATTTCTTAAATAACATATGAATAAATTGCTCTTTCTTGAAGTCATGACATCATAGAGTGCTAATCCTCTGACAATTAATGCTTTACATTATTTTCCCCCTAATACAGTATGAGGTGGTGTGAATAACTCAGACCTGTTTACTCTTACGATTTCGCCGTATTTTGTACAGATTTTGAGTCCAAAATACGTCTCACGTTTTGCCATTCTGAAAATACGGAAATCCGTTCTTTTGGATTTTAGCACTTAGATTTCGTTAAGATCAGTCTCAGTTTGACAATTTTTAATTGCTAAAAAGGAAAGATTTCAAACACTTCAGTGATGTTGGGTTGCCAAAATGCGGTGGTTTATAAATGACAGAAACCCCTTGAAAGAAAGCAAGGTATGATGTTTTTATTAAACCATGTTTTGGTAATCGGAAATGTAGTTGTCCTCTAGTTATATATTTAAAATCCATGGAAATTGAAATTTTACAGGCAAATGTCAAATCTCACGGACAAATCTAATAAAAAATACTGAGAGACAATGGTCTGATAACTTATAAACATTGTGTGCCTTTGACAGGTTCAGGATGAGGTGATGTAAATTACTGATAAACACTGTGTGCCTTTGATAGGTTCAGGATGAGGTGATGTTAATTACTGATAAACACTATATGTCTTTGACAGGTTCAGGATGAGGTGATGTTAATTACTGATAAACACTGTATGTCTTTGACAGGTTCAGGATGAGGTGATGTTAATTACTGATAAACACTGTATGTCTTTGACAGGTTCAGGATGAGGTGATGTTAATTACTGATAAACACTATGTCTTTGATAGGTTCAGGATGAGGTGCAGAAGAACAAACAGGAGTACAGTCACTGCGTGATGAGAGTAACGGCGGACGAGGCCAAATATAACGACATCAAATCCAAAGGTAAACAGAATTACAAATGAATATAACGACATCAAATCTAAAGGTAAACAGAATTACTAACAAATATAACAACATCAAACCCAAAGGTAAACAGAATTACAACCAAATATAATGACATCAAATCCAAAGGTAAACAGAATTACAACCAAATATAACGACATCAAATCCAAAGGTAAACAGAATTACAACCAAATATAACGACATCAAATCCAAAGGTAAACCTAATTACAACCAATATAACGACATCAAATTCAAAGGTAATCCGAATTACAACCAAATATAACGACATCAAGTCCAATGGTAATCGGAATTACAACCAAATATAACGACATCAAATCCAAAGGTAATCAGAATTACAACCGAATATAACAACATCAAATCTAAAGGTAAACAGAATTACAACCAAATATAACGACATCAGATCCAAAGGTAATCAGAATTGCAACCGAATATAACAACATCAAATCCAAAGGTAATCAGAATTACAACCAAATATAACGACATCAAACCCAAACGTAAACAGAATTACAACCAAATATAACGACATCAAATCTAAAGGTAAACAGAATTACAACCAAATATAACGACATCAAATCCAAAGGTAATCAGAATTACAACCGAATATAACAACATCAAATCTAAAGGTAATCCGAATTACAACCAAATATAACGACATCAAATCTAAAGGTAAACAGAATTACTAATCATGCTTATGGTCAGGAAGTACATGTATGTCAAAATGATTCTCTATTTAACAGAGGGACAAAATTCGGTAACTAAAACGTTCAAGTCCAAATAAATCTATCGGATTAACCAGGTACCCAATATCAGTTCCATCAGAGTTTTAGCAGATCCCAAATACTCGATTGTTATCTCGAATTAAACTTAGAGATATCCAATGATTCAAGATATCCAGGGTAAAAAATGCTAAGCTTAAGTAGTTGAGACTGCCATCTCAGACATATTCCTTGTATGCGAGATATTTGAACAAGGTCCCAAATATCAGTTTCACTATAGAGTTTTACCAGATCCCTAATACAGTCAAACCTTGTTATCTCAAACTTGATGGGGGCCAGATTGAGCTTTGATATCTAATGATTCGAGATAACCAGGATAAAAAAACAAAGAATAAGTTTGTGTGACTGCCAGCAAACTTCAACATATCCCTAGTATTAAGATAGTGTTTGAGATAACAAAGTTCAATTATATCAGCTAAACTAGGTCCCAAATGTCAGTTTAACAAGGACACAAATTAAATCCAAATATCAGTTAAACCAGATCCTAAATATTATTTGAACCAGGTCCTAATTGTCTGTTTAACAAGAACACAAATCCCAAATATCAGTTAAACCAGATCAGTGATATCACTAATATCAGTTAAACCAGATCACAAATATGGCTTTATCAAGATCACAAATATAAAATGGTCCATATCCAAAAAATATAATATGTGCTTGGATTCATTTCCTAGCAGATAAACTGAGTCCATGTAAACCACAATGATACATAAACCAAAATTTAAAATACAGTATCAGGTAAATAAAACTTGCAAAACTTGAGAAAAATATAGAGGAACATTTTTCTGCAGCAGTAAATTTGTAAGGAGATGCAGGAAGATTTGGTTATAAGGAAGACACTGGGACATTTGATTCCGCTCCCTTATCCTTTATTCAGATATTTTTTATATCTGTAGTAGGAGCATAGTGCCAAGTCTCTTACAGGATTCATAAAAGTTTTCCTATAACCAAGATTTCCTTACAAGCGAAATCTGTATAACAAATCTTTAACAGCGTCTGCATTTTTTCATCTACACCAAAAAAAATTTTTCAGGTGGAAAATCCTCTAAGGTGGAGGATGCCAAGGTGAAATACCAGAAATCCGCGGCGCGGCTACACCGGATCCACAATGACTATGTCTTGTCGCTACGGGAGGTTAGCGCGTGCCAGGACGGGTACCTTACACAGACACTACCGAGCTTCCTCAATTACCATCAAACATCACAGGAAATCCTCGTCCAACAATGGTAAAATTACAGTAGTAACGATGCATGATCTTATTTTTCTACAGTTACATCTTGAAAAACGTAAGCTTTGATTTATTATTATCTTTACATTGATTTAATGAAAGCAAACTCTGTTCTCCTCCATTTTTTAACTTTAAATTCTCCATAATATTAGCTACATAGTTTTGCAGGACTGGGTTGAGATGATGCCTTGTTAGTAAATTTTATACCTGTCGAGGCAAAGCCGAGCAAGGCATGAAATTTACTACCTAGCTATCATCCCGTATCCTGTCAGTACAAAACTATGTAACTAATTTACCATATGAATGACCTGATTACATATTCAGGTGTCTACGGTTTGTGAAATTTTTTCTCCCCACTGTAAGTTTCATCACTCCCATTCAGTACTTATGATGACATGTTGTGCTACGTAATACTGTTTTATGTCTATTGAGTGTTTTGTGCAGTAATAACTTACACACAGTTTTGAAAAATTTTAGTAAAGAAAGAAAAAAAGGTCTTTACTGAGGTTAGTTAACTTTTTATTAGCTTACTTGAGCCGACGGCTCAATTGAGCTTTTCTGATCAAAATTTGTCCGTTGTCTGTCGGCGGCGTCGGCGTCGTTGTTGTCGATAACTTTTCACATTTTCATCTTCTTCTTCAGAACTACTGGCCCAATTTCAATCAAACTTGGCACAAAGTATCCTTGGGTAAAGGGGATTCAAGTTTGTTCAAATGAAGGGCCACTCCCTCCTCAAAGGGGAGATAATTACGAAATAGCAAAAAATTAATGGCATTATTGAAAAATCTTCTTCTCAAGAACCAATGGGCCAGGAAAGATGAAACTCATATGGAATTATTGTCAGGTAGTGTAGATTCAAGTTTGTTCAAATCATGACGCCGGGGGGTAGGGTGGGGCCATAATGGACTATCAAAGTTTTACATTGGAATATATAGGAAAAATCTTCAAAAATCTTCTTCACAAGAACAGCAAAGCTATGATTGGTCATATTTATATGGAAGCATCCTCATGTGGTGTAGATTCAAATTTGTTCAAATCATGACTCCCGGGGTAGGGTGGGGCCACAATGGACGATCAAAGTTTTACATAGGAATATATAGGAAAAATCTTCTTCTCAAGAACAGCAAAGCTATGATTGGTCATATTTATATGGAAGCATCCTCGGGTGGTGTAGATTCAAATTTGTTCAAATCATGACCCCCGGGGGTAGGGTGGGGCCTCAATGGACGATCAAAGTTTTACATAGGAATATATAGGAAAAATCTTCAAAAATCTTCTTCTCAAGAACAGCAAAGCAGTGATTGGTAATATTTATTTGGAAGCATCCTCAGGTGGTGTAGATTCAAGTTTGTTCAAATCATGACCATCGGGGGGTAGGGTGGGGCCACAATGGACTACAATTAAAGTTTAACATAGGAGAATATAGGAAAAATCTTCAAAAATCTTCTTCTCAAGAACAGCAAAGCCATGATTGGTCAAATTTATATGGAAGCATCTGCAGGTGGTGTAGATTCAAATTTGTTCCAATTATGACCCCTGGGGGTAGGGTGGGGCCACAATGGACAATCAAAGTTTTCATGGAGTATATAGGAAAAATCTTCAAAAATCTTCTTCTCAAGAACAGCAAAGCTATGATTGGTCATATTTATATGGAAGCATCCTCATGTGGTGTAGATTCAAGTTTGTTCAAATCATGACCCCCAGGGGTACGGTGGGGCCACAATGGACGATCAAAGTTTTACATAGGAATATATAGGAAAAATCTTCTTCTCAAGAACAGCAAAGCTATGATTGGTCATATTTATATTGGAAGCATCCTCGGGTGGTGTAGATTCAAGTTTGTTCAAATCATGACCCCCAGGGTAAGGGTGGGGCCACAATGGACGATCAAAGTTTAACATAGGTGTACATAGGAAAAATCTTCAAAAATCTTCTTCTCAAGAACAGCAAAGCTTTGATTGGATATATATTTTTGAAAGCATCCTCAGGTAGTGTAGATTCAAGTTTGTTCAAATCATGACCCCCGGGGGTAGGGTGGGGCCACAATGAACGTTCAAAGTTTTATATAGGAATATATACAAAAAACCTTTAAAAATCTCAAGAACAGCAAAGCCACGGTTTGTAATATATGGAAGCATCCTCAGATAGTGTAGATTCAAATTTGTTCAAATCATGACCTCCAGGGGTAGGGTGGGGCCACAATGAAAGTTCAAACTTGTAGAGAAAAAAGTCAAAGTTAGTCAAAAAATTATGTAAGCAGTGTAGATTTAATTTTGTTCAAGTCATACCCCCCCCCCCCCACTCCCTTTTAGGGGTAGGTTGGGACCATTTATGCATTTAAGCTTTTCAATACTAAACTGATTTTTGAGGCGCATCGCTAACAGCGATGTAGCCTCATTGCTGTTGACCCCCATTTCTTTCTTTTCTGCAGCGACAAAGGACTCTACAATGTTGATTCTAAATACGCCATTGAAAATAGTGCAAATGTTTATTGACAAGTCGGTGATATTCATTGTCTATTTTAAATATCAAATAACATAAAATCCCACATATATATGTTGTTTATACTTTGAAAGCAACAAAGATAACAAAAAGACACAAAAACAAAACAAAAACAGAGAAAGTGAGGAAGCAACAATAAACAAACATGTGCGCTACGCGGAGTAAGATCTATTTGCATCACAACAGCTCGTACCATAAATTATTATGCCTTGTAAGGCGACATTGCTTGTACGAATATCTGAGAAAAATATACCATGATTTTATTTTATAAAACATCACGAACAATAGGAACAAGATGGTTGTTTTTATAGAAATAGAAGGGATATCATTATTTTTTCACTCGATGAAACAAATAGTAAGATGTTTAACTGAATAAATTTTTGCAACAAGCGCCACCTTTCGTGAAAAAAATTCCACGAGGAAGGGTGACACGAAACGGTGAAATGATCGGTTTTTGGTGAAATGTCAGTTGAATATGATGAAATGTCTGATAAAAACTGCAATGACTGTGGATTTCAATTTATAGGTTTACTAATACCGTATAAACATAGACTTTTTGAGTTCATTTTATCGAAAATATCGGAGGAAATCGGCCGCCATGGACATGTTTCACAGTATACCGTATACCACACCTTGTTTTTTTTTTCTTCAGTCCGTAAATATTTATATGAACATTTCATGTATACCACTTTGGATTACGTAAAATGCCATTCTGATTGATAAAACTAGTCTAAGACAAAGTATTGATATTTTTAAAAAAATGCACTTAATGAAAGAAACGGAAAAACTTCAGATATGAAATTATATAGAATTATTCAATAATCATTCATTTCTAAATTCTCGTTCATTATTTCATCTTTCTACTATGATTGTAATAAAAGAATTTAAAAAAAGTATAATTAAAATCAATTATAGATTAATTTAAATATCAATGAATTATAATTGATATATCAGACTATCTTTTAAAAAAGTGTTTTGCCCTCTCCCGACTCACTGGCTAAAAATGCCACGACTCAAAATTTTTTTAACCTCAGGATTTTTTTTTCATTCCCTCAAGATGTATGTTGAATATTTCTGAGTAAAAAAAATTTAGTTTTCTACATTCAATGCGATGCGCCTCTCAGGCCTTCAGGCCTTTGATTCCTTTTTTCCTGGCCACAGTGCTCAGGTGAGCGATGTGGCCCCTGGGCCTCTTGTTAATACATGTAATTGTCTATACACACTCAACAAGCCTTACATGTATGTTTATTGACAGTTAAAAAGATTTAGGTTAAATTATATAAAAGAAAGATAACTCCGTATCGACCATATATTTTCAAATGACCATGTGTAAGTACATGTATTACACTCCCATCACATGACAGACTACCAACCAATCATAAGCCAGGATTTCATGGAAAAATTATCAGAGGTGGGGTAAGATCAAGTACAAGGTGAATAAAATGACTTACAAGTCACTGTAGGATACAGGTATTGAATAGCTAAGCTGGCCAAAGCACTAGCTGTATAACTTAGAAAGCCTGGGTTTGAGAACTGTTAATCAGTTGATGAAATCATTTCCTGGGTGTGGTAATTCTCTAGGTACATACCCGGTACATGTGCAATGTATATCATTTACCTAGATACTGTGAATCCCTTTATATTCTTGAGAACTTTATTTTCACGTAATTTCACAAGACAGTCTGCTAGTGAAAACTTCATTCTTGCATATGTTTGTATTCTTAAAGATAATATAGAGCAAAAACCAAAATTCATAATAAAAAATTTGTTTTGCTAATAAAGAGTAAATGACTATCTCATGAAAATTAAGGGACATGAAAATTTGATGATCTACAATACATGTAAATCATGGAATTCTTACTACTTATTTCTATATCTTTGACAGTAAAGAGATCCTTTTGCAATATCAAGAATTGACGGATCTATCCAATGAGACGTGTTGTGAAATCTTCAGGGAAACCCGAGAAGCCATCGAAAAAATCAACCCTGAGAAAGAATATTACAATGAGGAGTTTGTGAATCAGTTTAGGTAACGGCGGGAAATCAGAATAGAGGTGTACACTGAATCATATGTGCTAATTACAAAACTGTTTCCCTGCTTGTTTTAATTTTATAGATTAAAACTATAGCCAAACAGGGTTGAAAGTTTTTGATAGAAAACTCTGTCTTTTTATATCACAAGTTTTTCAAAGTTTGTTAAGTGTTAAACTTTTATTAATTTTTTTGTACTGCATAATGATGATTAGGGTATATTTTTTTTGTCTTTTTTTTTCTTTCTGCCCAATTCACTAATCTTGACTATGTTCATAAACCTTCAAGATTTTGAAACTTCAATTTGAGCCAAGATGAAACTCAAGACCCAAACCATTCATATAAACAAAGGTCAAATAATATTTTTAGTGTCACAGGAACTTGCCAATGCATGGACACTGCTTTTTACATTCAATCTTTGTTTTTTACCAATGCATATTAATTGTTCTTTGTTAATACATTTTTTACCTATAAATATTGAGGTAAAGTTAAGAATTTGTGAGTATTTTGATTATTAAATGTGTTTTATTTCTGTAGTTCCGACAAAATAGAACCAATAACATTTGAATTTGGTAACACACTGCTGGCTGACTATGTAGGGATCCTAGAGAGCAACAAACTTTCCCTCAGCGACCTCACAAGTACAGACCTACAGACAAGGTGAGTACTAGATGTACAGGGGTGGGTCCAAGGTAGGTAGTACATCCAGGGGTGGATGTTAAGTGTGTACTGGATATACAGGGGTGGATCCAAGGTGATCAGGCTTATACAGGGGGATGGATCCACGGGTTTAAGATACAGAGGAGACACATGCAGTAGGGATCACTTGCTAATGTCTGTTGTTTCTAAATCTAAAAGGAAATTCTAGATTTTCTTTGTGAGTAAAATTTTGAGTGGATTTTGAAAGACATTGCCACAATTACGTTTAACTTTGATATTTACTTTTTGTCACTGATTGGTTTGTGACAAGTTGGAAATCGGGGTTGAATAAATTTGGCAGTGCCTTTCAAGACAGCTTATTTATCCCCTACATGGTAAATCCAGAGGGGAATATTTTCTGTCTGTGTACATGACATGTCCCTCCTCCCCCTCCCCCATATTTGATGAGTTGTTGCAGAGTCCTAACTAAGCAGTTAAAGGATTTAATGTATGAATATTTTGGGGGGTTTTTTTATGGAGTAATTTCAAAAGAAAAAAATATAATTAAGGATAAGGTCAATTCATTTTGCAACTAGATGATTGGGTTCTCTCCCTTTTTACATGATTAAAAGTGCAATAAAAAAAATACACTTTCTTTGAAAAGTCATTCAAATTGACAGTTTTCTGTACAAGTTTAATTATTGTCTGTAATCCAAATTGTCAATAATAAATTTACAATTAATCAAATAATTTCTGGGAAAAATTTTTATTTTTAAAACATGAAACCAATAAAACTAAAAAAACCAAAACAACAGTGTGACCCTCTTAGTTACACACTGCACATTATTGTGAAGTTAATTGCAGGTGTAATATCTCTTACACTATACAATATTTGTCACCTCTTAGGAGGCTTTAACAAGCAGTTGTTAAGAAATATTTGGCAACCCTGAACAAAGGGTTACATGCGGTTAACAAATGGAATATTCAATTTAGTATGTAAGAAGTTGTTAACTTTCAAAAGAATATCGGAAAGCAACTGGAAAAAAATCTATGGATTGCTTTTGAAAATTCTAATAAAATGTCTTAAATTAAAAAAAATACTGTTCGGTTAAGAGGAGACCTATTTGATTCAATAAATGAAATCTTTTCTCTGGATTGCTTTAATAATTCTGATAAAATGCTCTAAATAAAATACACTATTTATAGCTGTATACTAAACTCTGAGATTAATTTTGTATTGTCCATCTTTCCCATAAACAGATTAAAAATTATCACTCATCAGAAAATATCCAAGTTTTGAAATTCTTTTATTCCTTTATTTTTTTGTTTTTATATCACAATCATAGGTAATACTTGTATACTGTGAACAATAGAAGTTACATGTACTTCATCTCAGAAGAACATTATTGAACTAAAACAAAACCTCCCAGACACTGTTACAATTTGTTGTTTTACTAACAACCATTCCCCCTTCCAAACTTCGACCTTATACAGATAATATATACTTTAAAAAAAAAATAATAATGATATATGATCAGGATTAATTTTGCTCAACTTTGAACTAAAATATGAATCAATTTCAGAAGTCAGGTTCTGGAATTCTGTCCCTTTACTTGATTAGAAAATCCAGAATTTTTTTTTTTTGCCAAACCCATATCAATCCTAAGTGTTAAACTTCTTTTCAACTTTGTTTATTATTTGTAAAGGAGATGGTTTTTGAAATATGATTTAAGAAATCTTTACTTTGTACAAAAACTTATTCAAAATTTCTTTTTTTAAAGTTCTAAATTCATAATTTTGATGACATCAATAGGAATATTTTTCTCTTATGTTTCATAGAATAATAAGGTTGTATATGGTATTAATAATCTTTGTCACCTCTGATGAGGTTAAGTGAAAAAAAAAAAATCTCAATTTGTAGGAAGTAAAGGATAATGTACATGGTCACTGAAAACAAAATATTTCCTAACATTTAAAAACATGATGTAGTCTACACGATTGACCAACGGGGCAAAGCTTGGTGAGGGATATTGCAGGAAAAAGTGGGGGGTGGGGGGGGTTAGGTTGGGAAGGGTTGGAAGGCAGATTTTTAATTTTTACCCCACCACACATACATTTTTAATTACCTTTAATTGTCCATCTTTCCTGTAAACAGAAAAAAAAATCAATTATCAGAAAATATTCAGGTTTTGAAATCTTTTATTCATTTATTTTTTTTTATGTGACAATCATAGATAATACTTGTATATACAGTGAAAATTTGAAATTACATGTACAGTATATCAAAACAACATTATTGAACTAAAACAAAATCTTACAGACACTTTTACAATTTGTTATTTTACTAACAACTATCCCCTCTTCTAAACTTCAATCTTACAGATATATATACTTTTTAAAAAATAATGATATATGACCAGGATTAATTATGTTCAACTTTGAACTAAAATATAAATCAATTTCAGAAGTCAAGTTTTGGAATTCTGTCCCTTTACTTGATTAGAAAATCCAGAAAATTTTTTTTAGCCAAAACCATATCAAGACTAAGTGTTAAACTTCTTTTCAACTTTGTTTTTTATTTGTAAAGGAGATGGTTTTTAAAATATGATTCAAGAAATATTTACTTTGTAAAATAAAATATTTGAAATTTCATTTTTTAAACTTTTAAATTTAAATTTTTGAGTATGTCAATAAGAATTTTTTTATGCTTTTGTGATATCTACCTCATTAAGGTTTTATATGGTTTTTATGTAAAATAAAATCTTTGTCACCTTCAATGAGGTTAAGTGTGAAAAATATAAATATGTTGGAAGCAAAGTATCATTCTAATGCAATTGTTTTGTAAAATAAATTTTGATTGGCTATTGCAATGATGTTTGAGGCAGCTAAACGAGCATTAATAAGAGTGAAAGCTTTCCATTGTGACGTCATAATAGAGCGACGCAAAAACACAACACTTTGTGACGTATTTCATGTAACAAAACTCAACAAAATAAGATGTAAACATCAAGCAAAAGGCATAAATTGCATTAGAATTGGAATAATTATCTTCTAATTTGGTATTTGCAACCGTTAATGATGATTTAACGGTCGCAAACATTCGTTATACTGGCTTCGCTTACAGTCGCAAATACCAAATTAGAAGATAGTTTTTCCCTAATTCGTATGGTCACTTAAAACAAAAATTTTTAAACAAATATATGATGTGGTCTGCAGAATTGATCAATGAGGCAAAGCTTTGTGAACGCTTGATTGATAAGTGTAGTTCATTTGTAGGGACACTGAACTTTGCTTGCTGAAAACAAAATCTCATTTCAACTTTTTATTAAAAGTAAAATTTTGTCTGCACCATTGGTAATTGGGACATAGTTAACTTTTTATGGATAGGTTTAAGTTTTTTTTCTTTATAAATCTCCATTGTTGAAAGTTAATTATCTTCTTCCACCAAAGAATCCCCATGTCAAAGCACACCTAGTTGGCTACTGATATCCTGAGCTATTACAACTGAAAATTGAATAGAATCCTCCAATTCAAAGATTGTTTAACACGGTCAATCAAATGCACGCTAACAAAAACAGGAAAAAACACATTGTTCAACATTTTGTGCAGAATTTTTTTTTAAATCTGAGAATTAGTTATATTTTGAAAATCCTTGAATAAATAGATTAACAACTAACTTTGATATTCAACACTGGATGAGCTCAATATTACAAATTTACAACATGTGAATTTTTTTGTAGATCTATAAACATTTGTAATGCACAGCCTCCAGGTGGCAGATATTTTTGAGAGGGATTTGGAAAGGGGGGGGGGGGGCTTTGAAAAATTGTTGATTTTTTAATAAAACAAAAACTAACAATTTCTGCAGAATGGTATTCGATGCAAGTTTGATAGCATGAATTTTATTAAGGCTTCTACTAATTTATTTAATACATGTATTTATCTATTTATTTATTTTTGGAATGGTCTTGCATATAAAATTGATCTATACATGGATTGTTGCCCTTTTAATAGAATGATTAATTTAGAAAAAAATATTTAATATACCTCCTTCTGTTGTTAAGGCTTTTTGTCTACATGCTAGATTATTCACTGTATGTAATAAATTTGACAGCTATTTACCTACTGTAGTATTCAAATTATTTTTTAAAACAAAATTGACTGTTAAAATTGGAAACTTAGCACCTTAATTTTAAATGTTATTATTGTCCTAAGTTTTGACAAGTGTGCACTTTGTTTTTTATGGTAAAAAATCCCACAACGTTATAAAAAAATTAATTTCTGGCACCTCCTCGGAGGTCAATTAAAGTACATATGTGCCAAAGGAACTTGGAAGAATATTAGCTGAGAAAACATTTTAGATGATAAAAATTTCATAAACTTATTACAGTAAAATCATGTATTTTTATTATAAATTTCCAGGGTCAGATTTAACTGTTCTATTTTTAGGTAAATTGCGGTTGTAAATAGTGAACATGCTTACAATGAATTCACACTTAAGCAAAGTTCTTTTCATTCCCTGTTAGTTTAAAACATATTATATAAACTGTTTGTATTAAACAGTAAGTTAGTAAATTATTTATTATAGTGATATGTATTATACAGTAATACAGTGTATTTTACAACAATATACTTAGATTTTTACACCCGGCCCAAAGGACCTATGTGTCACTGTTAATATTTTAACAATATACATATATACAGGCACATAAATGAAGATAAATTATATTAGAATGTTCTTTTTGTGAAGTTCTGACGAGTCTTAAAAGGATCGAATTTAAAGTTTGCAGAATGTCTAGGAAATTTACATAAAATATCTGAAAAGAATGTATCATCTAAAGACAAATTTGACAAATTTTTAAAACCTATTTTACGAAAGAAGTCTATCCTTTTAATTTCATATTTTGTGCAGATTTTTTTAAATCTGAGAATTAGTTATAGTTTTGAAAATTCTTGAATAATAAGCAGATTAACAACTTTGATATTCAACACTTGATGAGCTTAATATTACAAATTTACAA